GACTCGACTCGACTCGAGTCGAGTCGAGTCGAGCCACCGAGCTTCGACTGAAACAACTAATTTTCTAAAGCAGATTTTTTTTCAATAGTAATAATAATTTAGAATAACAATTTTATTCAATAACAACAAAAAATACTTTACAAAATTAATAAAGTTCATAAGAATGAGCCAATATAGAAAAAAGACTTCAAGCTACATTTGTCGCTTGCTGTTCTCAATGGATCGCAAGAAAATTAAATTGTTGACAGTTGAAGGATCAATATTCGAGCGCCTCTGAGTCACAATCTGACCGGCTGCGCTAAATTGGCGTTCGACCGCAGCTGAGCTGCATGGAACGGCGAATGTGCGTTTGGCAAGACGATAAAGGGTTGGATAGGCCAATTGAATATGTTGATCGAACCAATCNTAAAGGGTTGGATAGGCCAATTGAATATGTTGTTGTTGCCAGAACGTTAGAGGATTTGTATATTCCTCTTCGACCGTAAGTGCATTATAACGATCGATCTCGTTCATACCTGGTTCTTTGACTATTTCGTTCTTATCCATCAGTTGTAACATGAACTTGCTTTTTTTTGACGGTGGTTCACAAACATCTTTGTCGTTTATTACTGGATCATCACCCGTGGTATCAGGCAAAACGAGACCTCGACAGTACGCGTGGCATGACTTGATCTGTGTTTTTGTTGCTCCACGCAATTGTTTATAGTTCGGATGTAAAAAAGATGCTCGAATATGATCGTCTTCGAGTTTAAACATGTTGTCAAGTAGTTGAATCGCACGTTTGTAGAAAAATTTCATTCCTTAAAAAGAAGTTCAGATGAAAATGAAAAAATTAAATACGATTCTTACCTCCTCTTTCTTTCTTCTCCCCGTTGATCATTTGCTCTCGTAGATAGGTAATACACGGTAAAACACAATGGAGAGAAGGTGAATTACCAACTTGAACTTCTTTGAGGACATTTTTCCATCTAAAAAATAAGGAAATAATATTACAAGTATTTTCTTTCGTGGTTACCCATGTATACAGAACCACCAACTCCAAGAGTAAACATGAAAAATTACTCACGGAGCGAGGAAAGCAATTAGTCTTTCGACCATATTGAAGTTGATCTTCTGCAGCCGCTGCCTCTGGTGGTGATCCTTGAGAACATGGAATAGAATGGACTCTGCACTCTTGAGGCTCTCGAGCAAGTCACATAAGGTCAGCCAACGAACTACAGAAGATTGGTGAAGAGTTGCAGTTTTACTGGAATTGCTAGTGGTATACGGTGGATCTTCACCATTGATGCTATTGTTGATGTTCTGTTTTTCACGTTCCAATTGTAGGTCACGATTGAGATTTGCCTACAATGTAGAATAACATGAGCATAATTAAACAAGACATTTTGCTTCTCAAATTTGTTAACTAATCATCAGTATATTCTCATTGAATTCGAATAGATCATTTTTTATATGTGAGAAATTGTTAGCCAACTATGAAAACCATTGCTTATGACATTATCATTGCAGAAGAATTCAATTCTAAAATTTAATTTATACGCTCTATTTCACCTACTATTTTAAAATATCTTTCTCTTAGATTATATTAGGTTTAGATGTATTTTTTTCTTGAAGTATTGAGCTGAATACAAAAGAAAATCTTGTCAAGTTGAAGCTTTATTAATTCTTACCTTTTTCACGTATTTTACAAGCGATTTACAATCTTTGATCATATCGAGAATTGCTTTCGCAGGAGGAGGCAAATTAACTATTGTCGTTGAAGTATAATCAACTACATCATCATCGTCATCGTTTTCATCATCTGATGATTCTTCCGTATCAATATCATTTTTGTCATCAATGTCTTCTTCGTTCACTTCTGATGAAGCTTGAGTAAAAGTTCGTGTCGTTATGGTTGTCATTTCGGTTTTTGTCGGAGTTATTTCTGTTCGACAGACACTCGTTGAAGTAGTGAGAATTTTACCAGGAGAAACTATCGTATTTTTCTTTGATATTTCTTGGTAGAAGGTTTTCTTCAACACATTGTTCAGACGATGAGCGACGCACAAAAGAACTCGAAAGGCCATCAGCGCCTGTATGACGTTCGCTCCCCTATCGGTTACGAATGTGATCTTGTCCATTAGCTCTTTTAAACCAAAGACAGACAATTGAGCTTCAAGCATCTATGAAAGCGCAGAAAAGTGATAATTTTAAGAGTGAATTAGCAATATCTTACCTTCAACACATTTAGTGCCGTTTTATTCTTCCATTTAAACTCTGAACAGAAGAGATCGAAATAATGATAGATACCGTTGTCACCGACAAAATGAGCAGTAGCGCCCAAATAAGAAATATTCCGATATTTATCAGACCAGATGCCAGGGCTAATCGATAACCGGTAGTCGTCAGCTGCGGCAACCAATTTGATTTTGAGAAGATTCCGCTCGTGTTGCGCAGCTCGATCCACTTCGTTCCGTACAGTTCGATCAGAGGGAAGAAGATCATCAATCGTTAGCTCGCCTTCCGATCGTAGATCACGGCCTAATCAAATAAGAATAGGTCATTTAATTTTTCAAACCGTAAGGACTCACCGATTGTCAAACATTCTTGCAAAATTTGTTTAAAGCCAGGATCTGTTACGATGGAGAACGGTCGCATTGAGCAAGCCACCCAGTTTGCACACAACTTTTTTATGTCTTCCTTCTTCTTTGAGAGTAGCTTGGCACCAATAGTACCCTTAAGCGGATTTCCTGAGAATGTGAGCTGACCTCGTTGGTGCTTCATTGGGCATCGATGACTGTTTAAATTCGTTGTGCTTGAGTCGTTGTAGAAATAAGTTTCGAAACAACTATTGCAACTTGCAAAACCTTTGATAATACTGAATATTGCTTCTTTTTCATCGCTTATTCGTACAGCTGGTAGACTGAATTTAGCCCAACAAGAAGCAGTTGCACGTTTGCTGGGATTTGACAAAATTTTGTAATGGCTTTTGTCGTGCCGTAGACCATGCTTGATGTTGGTAGACGTGTATGTCACTTGAGTAGATGAAGATTGTGCTGGTATAGAACATGAAGCAGACGAGGACGCGTTGGGCAGATCCGGTATTGCATTGTCGCCAGTTAAATCGATCGACATGCTCGAAGAAAGAATGATTAAAACTTGCAGAGAAAGTTGCTTGATCAGTAATAATATATGAAGATGGAAAGAATAAGAAGAATACGAACAATTCTGTCGTACATTTTCTTATTGATGACTTATATATATCCGTGATCGGTCAATTCATTGTTGTCTGACTAATTGGTGAATAGAACACGACGCATTGAATACAATGAAAGTCATTGTATGTCAATCATTATTGTCTATTGGATGTCGTCAATTCATCGCCGTTTATTCGTCGTATTTTTTGTTCGATTAATTAACTGCAATGAGTTAAATTTGTATCATTTCAAGACAACCACTGATAATAACGATCAATGTCAATAAACAGTTGAAAGAAACAATGAAAAATTTAAAAAATTCGAGTCTCTCAAATCAAACTCGACTCGACTCGGCTCGACACATATTTGAAAAAAGTAGACTCGGCTCGACTCGAGTCGATTTGCCGAGTACTCGACTCGGTTTCGGTCTATGACATGAATTAACACCACAAATTATTACATTATTTAAGAAAAACCTATGTGTAGTATTAATTTCATTTATTGTCATAGTAACTAACCATAATGATTTGGCTGAATTAGATGCAAGTTGAACACCATCAGCTGAAAATAAAAGATGATCTTGAATGAAACATTATATTCCAGGTGTGCATGCTCTTACTGGACAATGATAAAGTGAATAGTTTTATTGTATCATCTGGTGATTCATTACGTATCACATGTTTATATAAACGACCATCGATAATATCTTTTAATATTGTTAATCTCATCGTTGTATCTGAACTTGATGCAGATATCATGTTTTTCTCTCTCTGAATTATTTCTTCGAATTGCTGTCGAATGCCGAACCAAGTATAAATATAAGGTAATCGTAAATAATTTTCTCGAATGTTACACGATTCATTTAAGCATTTTTTATTTGACATTTGAACTGTTTCACATATTTGACATATAGTAACAGTTTTTGCTTGGTTTTTACTTCCTTTCGTTTGATTTGAATTGATATTTAATAATCTTCGAATATCATAAATAGATTTTGGTATCAGTGAATTATTTGAAACAGTTTTATTCAATAAACTAATGACATCAATAATCAATTCATTTGAGCATTTGTGTCGTCGTTTGATGAAGCATAAAATAACAGCAATATCACGAATAGATAACGTTTTTTCGAAAAATCTAAAAGAAAATTTAATGCTAATAACGCCATAAAAGTGACTTTAAGCACTTACTCAGCGTTCACGCTGATTTGATCTACGAGACTACCTTCATCTTTGAAAACACTGCTATCAACATCGTCATCAAAGTCGTCTTCAAATCGATCAACATCATTATCAATATAATCATTATTATCATCAGTATTTTCATCAGAATCATCTTCAAATCCATCAACATCATCATTCTCATAATCATTTTCATCCTCATTATTATCATCATGATCATCTTCGACATTAACAATATGATATGCATCTATTAATGATTCATTCAATCTGTTTTCATCTACTTGTTGTAATTCATGAATAAGTTGAATCTTTTTTGTTGAAGATTGCTCAACTACTTCACCATTATTATCTTGTTCTACTTCATCAATGTTCATGAATAAACATTGAGATGATATTAATGGGTTGGATTGATTTTTTGTTGATGGTGTCTGTTGAGATGTGTTTTGCCTAATATGAAATAAACAATATTTGTTCGATAAACTACAAAAATTTATTTACAATGAANACACGAAAGCTCGAATGACTTTTTATTTCTGTTAGAAATAAATTTATTTAAAATAAAAATAAAGATTATTATTATTTTATAATGATTTTTGTGGCAGTTCTATATTCTTTTTTTTCATATCTATTTCCTACTGCTATATCTTCTCAATTCTTATTAAATCTTCGCTCTAAATATGGCGAATTGACTTTTACCAGCATTCGACGATGTGAAAGTTTCACGAAAAAGTTACAGAAGGCAAAATGTGACACAGCATTCTTACGATATTGTCTAATATATAATTTGTCACCAACGTTTGTTCGAATTCGATTGTGGAAACCGAACCTAATGCATTCAATGAAATATAAAGAATTGCAAAGAGATTGTTTGCTTCGTGAATATGAATCTCGGCAAAAGCAAGCAAGACAACTAGAAAAAAGCCTTTCATCTTTAACATGTTGCCTTGAAAAAGATCTATCAACAATAGATTATTTAAATTTAAAAAAATTCTACTACGATGTGGCATGTCGAATACATTCGAACGTGATGCCAGTACATCAGAGGAAATTGGAAAAATTGAATGGAGGTCCTATTGGTCAAAATTATGAAGAAATGAAATCGAAAACAGTACACAATGTATCATCATACACTCTTTCTAGTACAGAAGAACGATTGCTTTGTCGAGGTTGGGACTTTTGCATAGAAAACAAAGTAATTGATTTTCTTGAATTTGGAACTGATGTTGAATTAAACTCATTGAGAATTGAATCATCATGTCATAACTCAGTCTTTCGATCAATATGTCGACATATGCATAATGCTTCACGACAACTAATGAAGTCATGTAGAAAGAAAAAATTTAGTAATCTATCAGATGATGAATTGAAAGCTTTAAAATCATTAAAATCAAATAAAAACATAGTAATTGTAAAAGCAGATAAAGGCAACTCCATCATAATATTAGATAAGGAATCATACATAAAAAAAGCAGAAGAGATATTGAAAGGCAATCAATTTCAAGAGATAACTAATAAAAATTATCATCAAGAACGTGAAAATGAACTAAATAAATACATCTATTCATTATTGAAAGACGGAATAATAGATCAGAAACTTCGGTTTCGACTTCAATCAACATGTTCCTCATTATCAGTATTTTACGGACTTCCAAAAATACACAAAACAGGATATCCTATACGGCCAATCATATCTACGATAGGAAGTTTTCAATACGAATTATCAAAATATCTAGCAAAAGCTATTAAAGATTCTAGTCCTCAAGCTGATTCAGATATAAAAGATTCCTTTGAATTTGTTAAAAAAATCAAAAATACAATATTAAGTCAAGAAAAGTCCTATATTATATGTAGTTTTGATGTTGAGAGTCTTTATACCAATGTGCCAGTAGAGGAAGCTATCAACGTCACATTAGATTTCATATTCAAATTAAAACAGAAAAATGCAAACATCCCATTTAGTAGAGAACAAATGAAAAAACTCCTAGAACTATCAGTGCGAGATGCACCTTTCCGATTTCAGAATAAGATCTATAAGCAAATTGATGGTGTAGCGATGGGTAGCCCTCTGACACCAATTTTAGCAAATCTATGGCTACAAAAAATTGAACAAAAGCTAAATAAATTCAGCAAAAACAGACCTGTAATATGGTTGAGATATGTAGATGATATTTTTTGCCTGTTTGATATATCTGAGATAAAAGTATTGGAATTTCACTCAAAAATAAATAAATGGCATAAGAACCTAAAATTTACAATAGCAATGGAACCTGATAACACAATTCCTTTTCTTGATGTATTAGTCACAATTGATGATGTTCATAACCAACTAACCACCTCACTCTACCGGAAACCAACACACACAGGACTTTATCTGCTTTGGGATAGTAGTCAGAGTCGAAGATACAAGATAGGTCTAATAAAAACATTGGTGATACGAATATATAGGATTTGTTCAACGAAAGAAATCATACAGAAAGAGATAAATCAACTAAAAGAAACACTAGAAAACAATGGATATCCACAACATATAACCAAAAGAGGAATTTCAGAGGGTGAAATAATAATTCGAAAAGAAACAAAAGCACAAATAAAAGCAATAAATAAAAATGCTAACAACAACATCATTTACTTCACTATAGCGTATTACGGACAAGAATCTCTAGTCTTTGCAGCAAGAGTAAAGCGAATCTGCAAAAAGCTTGCACCTAATTTAAATATTCAATTTGCTTTCAGAAAACATCTAAGCCTAAAAAGAATATTCTTGCCAATTCTAAAAGGAAAGGATGAATCAAAAGAAAAGAAAAACCTAATATACTCAATACCATGTTCTAATTGTGAAAAAGTATATATAGGTGAAACAAGTCGGATGAGAGAAACTAGAATGGCTGAACATCGGTCAAAAATAAAAACACTTGCATCTGACTCAAAACTAGTTGAACATATAGAACAACATAAACATAAGTTTGACTTCTCAAAAGTTGAGACACTTGCTCGTGAGACAGATTGGAGGAAAAGAACCATCAAAGAAAGTATTCTCACGAACAAAGCATGTGGTAATGCCATAAATGACACCAAACATATACTACGTGTTGTTAGCTAAGTCATATTCAATAAAAGCAAAATAAAAAATTTTAAAAACTAAATAAATAAATCCAGCCTTTCCATTTATGCTCATCTACCTAATTATATAAGAAAATAAATTATACAATGATCTAATTCATCTGATCCAACACATTAACTCATCACAGTCAACCAATTAACATTGCTCATCTGACTTTATCACATGAATACAATGAAATTACTCATCCGATGGTACTTAACTCATCTCATCAAAAACAACTCATCAATTCAAACAAAATCTACTGAACATAATTAATTCGAACACTTAAATGAAATTACATCAATCATCTACATCCAACTCCAATTTAACAAACATATATATACCTCAAAACTGTAATCGATTCTATCCATTCACTCTTCACTCTACTTCTTCAAATTCTTCCTTATTCTCTAATTTCTTCAACTCATTCTAATATCTTACCTTATACTAATCTTTTACCTATACTAATCATCTAGCGTTATTCATTCACTATATCCCTCTTTTCCTAAATCTATTATTCTTATATAATTACATAACAATGAGCAGACTTCACATATAAAAGAACTAACTTACAGCATGCAGAAGTACTACTATAATATGCATAAATAAAAATATTAAATATTAAATAAAACATACAGTAAAACCAAAATATCAAACATGTACATTAAAAATAAAACATACAATAAAATAAAAATATCAAACATGTACATTGAAACATACAGTAAAAATAAAATATAAAACATATACATTAAAACATACAGCAAAAATAAAAACAAAATATAAAACATGTAGTAAAAATAAAATATCAAACATATACATTAAAACATACAGTGAAAATTAAAAATAAAAAATAAAAATAAAAAAAAATAAAATAAAATATTGGTTTTTTTAAAAAAAGCCAACGTAAATAATAAGCTAAATACAAGAAAAGTAAAAATAAAAATAAAACAACTTCAATAATAAAACAAAAAACAAAAACATTATCATACTTCACATGACAAGTCTATAGTTATCTATCTCTACATCACTATTTCTTACAATAATTACAACAATAATTCAAATCCTTAAATAATCCAACAATTCAATTCTTCCTTTCTCCTATAACCTCACACTCTTCTACTCTAAAATTGTAAAATTTTATTTCTCTTTCTCAGTGTAACTCTTTATTCATTGTGCGCCTTCTACCTAATTAATTGTAACTTTCATCATCGTTTATTGTGGTGTATATATTTTCTGTTTTTCCTGATGATGTGTTCAGTGTAAACACGAAAGCTCGAATGACTTTTTATTTCTGTTAGAAATAAATTTATTTAAAATAAAAATAAAGATTATTATTATTTTATAATGATTTTTGTGGCAGTTCTATATTCTTTTTTTTCATATCGTATAATCTTCTAAAGCTGCAAGAATAAAAGGACAGAAAAAGTATCTCCTTTCATAAAAATCTTTTATCTCTCCTACATACCCTTCATAATTGTCTCTTAACCATTAAAGGGAAAATTAAAAAAAACTTACCTGTTCATTTTACTAAAATATTGTTTAATTTCGTGTCATTCGGCTGATCGCTACGCTATTGACGCTTCACATGAACGAAAAAATTTTCTTTCGTTCCTTTCACGTTCACGCTACAACAACGTGAGTTTTGCAGTTGATTTAAGTAATTTAATAATATTGTTAAATTACCTCACGCGTGAGAAAAGATGTGAAAATTAACGAAGCAAAATAGGTAATAATTCATTAAAAAAGTAAAAATTCAAGAAAACGCGTTAAACTATTTCACGCGTGAAAACATATCTTAAATTTAACGGACTTAAATCAATGATAGTTCGTTAAAATACTAAATTTTCAAGAAAACGCGTTAAATTCTTTCACGCGTGAAAACATATCTTAAATTTAACGGACTTAAATCAATGATAGTTCGTTAAAATACTAAATTTTCAAGAAAACGCGTTAAATTACTTCACGCGTGAAAACAGATGCGAGTTTTCATGATATTTAACGCGTTAGTACCTGTTAAAAAGTCATTAACGCATAAAAAGCCGTGAAAAACCTAACGCAGATTCACGAGTTTGTGGAAGATAACGAAACTTCATGAATTGCTTTTCATTAAACTTCGTTAATTTCTGATTTAACGCAGTTTTTTTCGTTAATTTTGAAAATCAATTCGTTAAATGCCTATTTATTTTTACATGGGATAATCTTCATGTATAATTGTTTTCTAAAAGAAATAGTTCATAAAAATAAATTTTCCAAGTTGCCTATCTATTGAGCTACGGAAGCTTTTACAAATATAATTATATTTATTATATTCACTATGAGATTAATATTTAGATTTCTAGATCATTTAAGAACTTCTCTTCTTTTTGTATCCTAAATGTTCATGCTATGTCGTATCATGCCCATTGGCTTGAATGAAAGAAAAAGATTAATGAAGCATGGTTCTGATTACAAATGTTCGCTTAGTTACGATTGAGCTCAGCTTTCGATTCAGGTAAAACAATTAAGAAACACAATCCTACGCATGACTTTTGTGTATGCAAAATTCAATTAAATTGTAAACGATATCACAAGATTTTCCTTTATTAAAGTAATGTTTTATGCATGTAAAATGAATACCTAAAGAATATGAAAGAAATATCGTAGTAAAAGTTTTCACAACTATAATCATGTTATTGAACCAACATTGAAAGTATCATTGAATCAGAGACAAGGTGTGAACGAGGAATGGAACTTTTCTCAATCATTTAATTGCTCAGCAAAAGTTTCTGATTGCTAAAACAGATTAATTCGAATCCTTCGAATTCTAAAAAAAAAACTCTTCGGTACGTCATAGAAAGGCCGAGAAGAAAAATATCGAAAATTTTAATTAACATGGTATTCTGTATTTGTACTTCATAGTAATATCAAAACATAAATTATGACACATTAAAGTCATAAAAAAAAGAATTATAAAATGTCATATTTTTCTTTTAGTAACTCTAAGTGAAATGCTCCATTACATTAATAAGATCTTCTTGTGAGTTGTTGTATTTTTGTTCAATTTGAACATAACTATACTAATCTGGTAGAAGATTGCCCTTTTTGTGGCTGAATAGAACAAAATAATAGAAATTATGAAAAAGTCTCATTAAGCGAAAATGATATTTTTAAGCCCGTTTTTGTCAGACAGATGTCATTTTATTCAAAAGTTTTCTTTTTTCAATATTTCTTCGGACAGTCCATCTGTTCTATTGTGATAGTTCAGCATAATGGTCCGTTATTTGCTTGAACTCTATTTTAACAGGGAACATCGTGCGATATTATCACATCGTTTTAAAAAATTACATGATTCGCCTTTGTAACAAAATCTAATTGACTTGTTTGATCCACAATTGTACTCTACGACTTCAAGAAGCAATTCTTATACGAACAGAGAGAACTTTTGATATTGAATGATATCAATTAGACTTCAAGCAATTTTAAGCTAAATATCAGACTAGACACGACGACTCTCATTTGATTTCATTAAGTACACGATGCAGCGCTGGTGAGCACAGTTTGTTCCATATCAAGAATTCTGTTTATGCAGCTCACTAGCAGACATTCGAATATGTGTAATACAACATTGGATGTATTGCTTTTTCACTCTATTAGTTTCCATAACGGAGTCGTCTCTGAGCCAACTGATATTATTCTAGGCATACTAATCAGTTCCCAAATTAATTAACCTTTTCTCTTCATTCAAACATCATCTCGGAATAAGCGATCGTTTATCAACGTATATTAAGAATGTATTCGTATCACATTCATCTACAGAATTTCTTCAGAGTTTTAATATATTGCATTTTGTCTAATAAACATCTAGCGGTAGATCAACATTGAATAGCTGAAAGTAATAAGTTCTCAGAATGAATTCACATCAGCAATTAAGTTATTAATTTTTCTTTGATGATAAGCGATGAACAATTCTCCTTCTCGAAGTACAATACTTCGCAGTTAAGATAGGTGAACACGAATAAAATTCATGCTGGCTTTCTTTAGACAATATAAAAAGCTGAAAATAACGTATGTCATATAAAAGATCGTTGACTGACACGTATCGGATGTGCTTGTCGCTTTTGAAACATCCTCATTCTATACCATGACTTTCCTTCCACTCACATTGACCAATTTATTGAATTCTAAGTTCTATTGTATTTGTATATTTTTCACAGCATGAAACTATTTTATTACATTAACATTTGTTTCATTCCAATTTAGATAAACAATATTTTCATTGTGGCGCATTAGTAGCCGTTTCATTAGTAGGAAAGATATTATTTATTTGAGTACTACGGTCATTCAGTCATGATTTCTTAAAGAACTTTTTAATCTGTCGACGAAAACCAACATTTGTAATAATCGATACGTAGAAACTCGAGGCAAAAAATGTGTAAGACAATAAATGAGTTAATTCAGCGAAAACGCTTTCTTGAGCATTTCGCAAAGTTGACTTCGGCCAATATTGAGTTATATTAGAATACATAAGTTGAGTTGCAAATGGTATATATGTTATTAAAGCAATGATTGACTGTAGGATAAGCATTAATGTTAACCGAGAATCTATCTGATCAATAGCTGATCTACATGCAACGATTGCTGGTAGCTTACTATCACTAGGACCAACTTTTCGTTGAATAACATCTCGAACACTTCGTATTAACAGATGGGCAAGTCCAATCATCACGATTGGCGGACATATTGCTTTGAAAAATATTTCATTGTACGCATCGAAATAGGCGTAAAATCCTGGTAAAGGAATGCATGCTCCTTTGGTAGCACTATATAGAATCAATCGATGCCCGAAAACTGATAGCCAAACGAACGCACATATCAAACAAATTTTGAGAGCCAGATCAGCACGATTACTCCACTGGCGATATTCTAAAATTGTGAAAAAGATGTTATACGAACGGAAGGTCATTACCGAGTAATATTTTCCGAAGAAATAAATTAGAGATCTACGCTGTTAGCTGACGAGGTGGATGTGCCAATGATATACGAAGAAAATGCATTTTTATTAGTAACAGGAAACATATCGTCTCATGTTGTCTAACTAAAAATTTATCGTCGGAAGGTAAATAACAGAATCCACGAGAAAGACGTCAGTGATGTTTATTCAATGGCGAAGAGAAAATGAAAAATTTTTTAAATATTTAATTTCCAAAAATACAAATACGTAGGAAATTTTGCAAATCTGCTTCAATTTCAATGCACGATATAATAGTTTAGAATTATCAATTCTCATGAATGGCTTCAACAATCAAAAACATTATAGGCTACTCGGAAATCATCTAATTTTAATCTCATAGTTCTCAAATTTCATATAGAATTTCATAAAAAAACAAATGCAGTTAATTATTCACTTAACTAACAAAATTTTCAGCTTACTATTTGCACGTTGGGTAGATAAAAGCCGATCGGTTGTAGCAAACGCAAAAAAACTAAATGAAACTTGATTACTCCAGTCAGTTAAAAATTGTCGAAGTTTGCATATGGCATCATAGCGTGTGACAAGCGGAAGTTGAAATCCTTCTTGAAGTATTCGTTCAGCCAGTACAAAATTAAAATAACTAAAATCTGATATGGCTTCCAATACGAGATAAACAGCATAAGCTCGTTTGCGAAAGGCTGGAGATCGAAATACAATCACATTTCCAATGCAACCAAGATTACCTGCCATCCAAAGAAATGAACCAAACCAAATATTTAATTGATAAGGTACAGCTAGAAGAGCATCACTAATGTTGCTTAGTGTTGTATTCATTGTTATTAGATGGTTAAATAAAATAATACTCTACGATCATCGTGTTCGATGCTGAAGAACACGGCGACTTTTCTATTTATCTTTGCTAGAAAAATTATGCGCTGCCAGTGTGAAATTTTTAAATGAAATGGAATAAGTCTCATCTAGTTTTCATTACGTTGATAATATGGATGTCTGCTTCTTTATAGAATGGCGTTCATTTATATGCAATTAATAAGAATAAGCATAATGGGTAATTCTTTTTCACAATAGGGTATATGATAAATAATAAATAATATGTAAAACACCGTCAGAGAGAACTTATTCATAGAATTTCTATAAATAATTACTGCGGAAATATCACTTTTTCTAGTTGAAAGGCAAACTTTTAGTTGTAGCTGATATTATAAATTAAGAGAGGATGACACTTCGTCTCACCTCTTTTTTTACAAACTCCGGTAAAATAGTTTGTTTACGATCTCTTGACATGAGAAAAAGACACGGTGTTCGGAATCAATTCTGACAATAGCTTTTTCATAGTATGTTCAGGTTTTGTTTCCCTGTGAGAAAATATGAAGTGATAAGCTATAGTCGCAACCTAAAATCACGTATAGTCAATGTTTCGGCGAATTCAAGCAACTACGATTGGACTTCTGTCTACTATAATAACTCTAATTAGTATTAGTTATTATTCTCCTTATTCCTTCAATACTTTCTGTTACAAGATATTGGCTTTACTGAAAGAAAATAAATACATATGTATTCATGACTATAGTGTTAATGTACATCATCATTCTATTTATTCTTCGATGAATGTACACGTTTTTTGAACCTGACTATTTGTTTATTTTTCGATGTTGAAGCAATGAGATCAGATTGACACGATGATGTGCCAGATGACGACGACGAAGCAGCAGTAGTATGATCGCTGGATCTAAATCTAAGACGATTCAATATTGGAGTTGAACGTAAATAAGATTGAGGAGCAACTTGCTCAGCTGTTGCTTTCGACAATTGTTGGTTTTTAATCAGATTATAACCTTAGAAACAACTTCTGAGGCTATAGCACAAGGAGTATAGATAGGGAAAGAATAATCGTCTACTTATATAATCATGGATGTAATCAAAAATGCAACCTATTATTGTCTATAAGAGCAGAATGTCTTTATGTCAATTGCAACATCGTTATAAATTCTTTTACGAACTCCACGTTTAAGTACCCTTATAATTTTCGTGCGAATTACCGACGGTGTTTCTTACGATATCCAGGTGTCATATTAAATATAGCAAAAATACTCTACTTCGAACATCCGGTAACATTTACCGGTGTTCGGAAGAGGTGAGAGGAAACGTAAGTCACCCAAATTAGTCAAAAAAAAAAAGAATTCCTGATTCGATGCTTGTGAGCACAGTACTCTGTATGCATTATCGATTTTATTAATTATCAAATTCAACCAGCTTTTTGTACATATATATAGAGGATTTTTACGTTTCGCCTAGGGTAACCCTGATTTTCACTTTATATCATGTTTTATGGGTGACGGTTGTTACAAAAATAGGAGGCATAATGTCGCCGTCTTTTTCTATAGTACATGTCATGTAAGATTCACTTAGATTTCATGATATTTTCGAAATATGGTGAAACTTTCAGTCCCTGTTAGACGATTTTTCAAGAAGACAGTCGATCAAAAATTATAAACAGAAGTTCCCTTCGTAAAACAGCCACTTTTTGCAAAACTTTTGCTCTTTATATTTGTGGTTTGTTTGAAAGACAACGTCAACACCTAGGAAATAGCGATGAAAGGCAGATCGCATCGAAATACATATGAAAACAGTCGAATAGAAAAGGACGGCTAATAAAAAAGAGTCACGTCCTTTATGAAAAATGAAATCTCTATTAAATTTACTATGAATACCAAGCCACCTTACTGTTGCTCTTTGATAGGCAAAATGAAATATACATTACTTAGGTACTTTTCCTCTTCGAAATAGTATTGTGAATATCTGTTTTATGAATTTTCACTGTTCAGTTTTTGATAAAAAGATGTCTTAATCAATTACGAATGCATAAAACGGAACAGCATCTTTAACTTTCTACGTATCGATTCCAGCACCTTACTCGGATGTATCATGCATCCGTAGCTACATTATATTTGATAAAAAGAAATTATTTTATATGTATCTATCTTACGGTGGCATATTTCTTTCAGTTGATTCAAATGAATTGTGAAAAGATATACTTATACTTTTTCCCTGTAAACTAGTCTCTATGAGAAACAGCTTGATTCGATAGTGCTTAAAATCTGGTGGAAATGAAGTCTTGAAGAATAAATATGAGTTGATGATTTGAAAATTCAAAAATATTCTTTACGATAATGTGACATGTGCACGTTTAACTCATCTGAACCCCTGAGTGTCGCAATGATTTGACACATCAATTTGTTAATGTTGTTATTTTGCGTATGAAGCAAATATCATTAGACGTGTGAGCTTAAATCTGCTTCAGATTAAAAGAACTAGATAGAGATCTACGGCTTTTACCGAGTAACAGACAAAATGAAGCTCCATCGAACTAAGTGTTTAAAGTAGAGAACATCATGTCATGTAAACGTTTTGAAATATGAATTCTAAGTCGTGAAAAATATTCGAGAAATATTTACGAGTCTCTCAATTTAAAATAGATTTGACATGAATCTCTGGATTCCTTTTTTAAGAGTAGAGTTGCTAAAATAATTTAACCTTAAGTATGGGAAGAAATGATCAGCAATGTATTTTTCGGAAAATTTCTGATTATTAATGGCAATGAATTATTTATAGTTGCTAAACTAGTCTCATTAAATCATGCATGAAGTTCATCTGATTACTTTAGAGTATTATCTAATATATAACTCAATATTAATTTGAATACAAATACTTCGTGCTATCGAAATAGACGAAAATCTAATTAACTAAAAGCACTTCTTTTCCAAAAAAACAATCAGTTCATATATGTGCATGATTAAAAACATTTTAATACAAAAATTATGTTCATTTCTGTTGTTGATATTCGACAAGTACTTTCTCTTGAGCAAGTCTTAAAGAAGATTTTGAGCAATTTTGAGTAACATTTAAATAGATGAGTTCAATTGCAAATGGTACATATGTTATTATAGCAATGATCGATTGTAAAAGAAGCATCAACGTCAGACGAGAATCCATTTGTTGAAGGGCGGATCGATGTGCAACGTTTACTACGGCCCCATTATTAACAGGGAAAATCTGCCGTTGAATAACGCCTCTAACACTTTTTAAAAGAAAATAAGAAAGTATAACCATCATTATAGATGGGCATAATGCTGTAAAAATTGCTTCAAGATAAGTATCAAACGAATCATAAAAAACAGATAGAGGAGCACATGCTTCACTAGTAACGCTATACAAAATAAGTCGATGTCTATAAAACAACAACCAGGAGAGCATGCATGTGATACACATTTTGTAAGCTAATCCAACATTATTGCTCTACGAGCGGTATGCTTTAATGAGAAGGAAAATTATAAGGATCATCTGGTGGTGGAACAGAAACAAAGTTCGCTTCCAAAAAATAGAAATGTTTTGTCAAAACAGAGATTTATTTTACTCAAAATTCGTGGAGGGTGGGTGATGAATAGAATCCGTCAGATTCAAGATTTTTGGGCCCGCGCCCGAGTGGAGCGAAAGTCCGATTCTACCAGACGGGCGGGTTCTAGTAATGGGAAAGTGAGTATCAAACTATTTTCGAGGCACACGGCTTGATGTCAGATTAATCAGTACTTTATTTCAACTTACCATTATTACGTTGTGTAGATAGAAGTCGATCAATTGTTGCCAGTAAAAACCAAGACAACGAAATTTGATTAGCCCAAACGGAAAAAATTGCCGAAGTTTACAGGTGACATCATAGCGTGTTGCAAGTGGAATTTGAAATCCTTTTTGAAGTATTCTTGCCATTAATAGAAAATGAAAATAAATAAATTCAGATGCTGCTTCCGATAGGAGATATATTGAATAAACTCGTTTCCGAAAGGCTTGAGATCGAAATACTATTGTATTTCCAATACAGCCAAGATTACCTGTCATCCAAAGAAAGGAACCAAAATAAATATGCAGTTGATACGGTACCCTTAAAAGAGTACTGTTACTACCATTTGATGTAACAGTATTCATTGCCTGAAAATTGATAAATGAAAAAACAATATTGTGTATTTCCATTACGTGATAGCGATGAATAATTTTTTTTTTGTTTTGACATTAGCTACGCAAGAAAAATTGGTTATTAAAAGGATTCAATAAATTCTGTAAATATCCAAAAACAAATCTGAAATATCTTTCATTGCATTACTTCTTTACGTTTTTGAAAACGACTATCGGAGGATTAGATCGCCACAATCAAAGCATATTCAAGATTTCCTTTCCAGAATGTATAGATAGCTACTCAATTCTTATTATTTTTTCAATGTTTCTGTTACGATGACACCAGAAAATATTTCACCTGCAACTGAAAATTTTCTGCAGATTTTAGTTTTTGCCGGTTTGAAAATGCATGCAAGGAAGAATGAATGGCATGATAGTGTAAGCCAATTTTTCTAATCCTCACTCTCTAAACGAGGAAAATTGATCAAAACTCAAATGTTTAAATACACTGTCAAAAGAGCACCATGATTAAAGTAGAAAACTAGCATAGTTTACTGTAATAAAAAATCATCGCCCCATAATGCTCTACAGGTTGGCACACTTTCTTAAACTAAACAAAAGCCACTTATATAAATGAAATGCCTACAGTTAATTATGCTTAGAATAATCAAATAACACGCCGAAATTGTTTTCTCCACGATCGCAGCTGGAATTATCTTCCTACGTATGTATCTCAGTGTTCATTTTGTGACACTATGACCTGAATTTATTTTTATATTCTCAAGTTATCTTTAAATGATAAAGCTTAAGCTTAAGTTATATCATCACACAAATAAATCCTCATGTAATCAATCATAGCAGCAAAGTGCACTAAAAGAAAATTCAGCATAATTGAAAAGCATGACAATACCTTAATTTAACATTTTATTTTGTTCTGAATAAGGAATATTACAATTCATTCTCAACGGAGATGATGCAAGACGTTACAGCCCTTCTTTCAATTAAATAAACGGTTTAATGCGAATTCGATGTTTGTTCAAAAATTTTTGCGGAGCTGTTTCACTGTTGCGCAACTCTTCTCGTGATCAAGTCATATGTGTGTGTTTACAATGAGAAATGATTCCTTAATATGATACTCTAATGTCATTATTTCAATCTCATCCATTATAAATCGTATGCTTAGGTTTCTGAACTAATTGTAAATTTGTATGTTTGAATGCACAAAAAAGGCAGATCATCCATTTATCATTTCCTTCGCGATAAAAAAAATAATATTTAGAATAAATTTTCATGAAGGATAGCGCTGTTCTTTCGACATGTTTAGAAAGACAAAGAAATAAAAAGATCTTGATTATCATTTACACAGGAAAATAATGAGAACTGTACTTCTGTTAAAGTAACCTATATCATATGAATAGGCAAAACCATGTATTTAAATAGTTAATTTTGGTATGGAGAAGTTTTCTCAATAAAGCAAAGATAAATTTTCTCGAGATGAGGCATGTCAAGTAAATTATTTAGATTTCGATAAATCTGTTTCAACGAGTTAAGTATCTTGTTTTCATGATGACAAGATTGATTTGTTTAGTATCTAATAGAAATTCACATCAGCCTCTTTTTTTAGCGATTGATTTATTGGAAGAAAATGATCAATGAAGGTATATTTTTGATTTCAGTGTATAGAAGAATGTTCTTTTCAAGATTAAAAATAAAAAAATAGCATTTGCGATAATTTACAAGAACCACATGTCATCCGCAACTTTTTCGTTTAATTCCATTAGTTTCGTTCTGATATCATCCAATGAATACTGTTCGGGTTCTTCGTTATCTTCATTCAGACTAAAAATGTGCAAAATAGCATTAATTAAGACGACATATATCAATCACTATAAACCTGTCTCTGTCATGATCTTCGCCAAAGTTTAGCACTCGTGACCCGTAAGCTGCTAAATGAGCATAATGAACAGGAGCCGGTATCGAAACGGATTTCGTACAGCGCATATCAGTATGACATAGCTACAATACAATTCGTCTATGCAATTTTAAATCGTATAAAAACAAAAACAAACTTACCCAATACGTCAGTTGTTGAATGGCATCACTAGTAAACCCAATTTTATCGTGAAGAACGTGATACAATGCTGGTCGTGATGTACCCATTCTATTATAGTCGGAAATAATAGACTTACAAAAAACGAGGCGTTATAAATATTCACCTTGCAGCTTGTGAACATAGATAAAAATCGAACTGAGACGGGTGTATGATACCAGTGTCGATTACAGTACCCTCTTGAACATTCATCGTTTGTCCACCATCGTAAACGAAAAATCTCGTGTTGTGACGTTTTTTAACCACAATAAATGTTAACTGTGGTAATGCTTTATTACCATAGACAGCTATTAGAGAAGGACATATGTTAGCGTCTAAACGAAATGATGTTTGCGGACTTACTGCGGCAAGCAGCCATTATTTTATTGACTTCATTGTCAAGAACTTTTTGATAATGTCCTTCATCGACACCGTCGCGATAAAAAACAATTTTGTTCGGAAGACGATTTCCACATGATTTAGCAAAGACATGTAGTAAATCAACAACCATCGTGTCTAGCTCTTTAATTATTTCTACTGAGCAGCGTCCCTTTTTTGGATATTCTATGAAACTAAATGGATGAATAGACGAAAAGATTACAAAATAACATACGTTCACAAAGACGCGCCGCATATCGGCTGTTCGTCAAATCTCGAGAGCCGACAACAGCGGCTATCGATGGACGATCAGATGAACATGTTGAGTGTGTGACCTGAAAGAAAAATAAATAGAAAATGTTCACATAAATTTAATTTCGCTAGCACTTACATCAGCTCCGAAAAACATGAAAAGATCATCTCTTGAAGAATGATACAGAGCTGCTTTACTATTGATTACACCATTGATCCCACCTAATTTTCCATTAATCTTCTGACTAATGTTTTCCACATCTAGAAGGTCCCATATTAATATCTCTTTTTTTCTTTCTAAATATTGATTTCTCTACTTACACATGTTAAGATTAGCAATGTTACGCTCCAAAGCTTGAAAATTAACACATTGTGTCATTAAACCTATCTGTTGATTGGCACAGCTTTTAACGAGGCTGTAGACTCCATCTGAGTTGCCGCTGTTTAGAACAATAACAGCTAATGACCAACCTTTCTTACTAGCATCAACTAATGCATCATGAATGTCACTTTCTGTTGGATATTTTGTTGTTAATGATGGCTCTCTATCGATTACAAATCCATTGCGCTGAAGTAGCTAAACAAAAGTAAATTGAAAATCAGTGAGAAAAAACAATTTTATGTAAAATTATACATTGGGCAGTTGATATTTAAATTGTTGAAGAATATCATCGACATATTTGTCAAGTCTATCACCAAAATAGATAATTCCCCACGAGTTGATTTTAGTTGTCGCATAAAACCAATTCCGAATACGCCATTGACCACATTTTACATATTCAATGGCTTCACCTTGACCTCGACGGCGATATTTGATCTCTGGAGGTGCCAATACACGCGCTAAATACAACGAAACATAGCTGTAAAACAAAACACATAGCAACTCGGGATGAAACACCTTCAATTTTAAGCATTTCTTGATCATCAACATGAACATTCAGCTCCTTTAGATAAGCATCTCTATTATATTGATTATTACGGACAATTTTCATGATTTCTTCGTAGCGCTCTTCTGGTTTAATAATAGTATTCTTGGTCACAGCACCTCGTTGAGATTTATCCAAGGGCTTTATTGCACGTTGCCACTCAACTACCTGCAATAGAGCAAAACTAGAAGTAGCATATTTTATGGAATTATAATGATTCCTTACGCGAACGACTTCCATGGGTAACCAGTTCGGTTGGTTCTGGTTGCCTTTGCTGGCATTAATGCAAGGCAAGTAGGGGAACATGAGTTTTCTTTTATGTTTCAAAGCAAAGTAATCAGCAACACTGATTTCTTTGAGTTCAGTCGCACCTGCTAATTCTTCATTCGTACGAGCGAACGTAATATCATTAGCAGAACGACCGAATTCACGTATTCGATAAAATATTCTTCGACCTGTATGCATTGTTTCAACTAATAAACAAAATATTAATTATTATTATGAGCAAATGCACGTACTATAAACCTACTCGATAAATTTCGAATCATTTTTTCGAATTTTTTAATTTCCCACTCGGCGAAGTCTTTGGTAATATCTTTTCGTAAAAACTCGCAAGCAAAATCAACAAAATTTAATGGCATATAAAAGCATGCAAATGATAAATTTATGTTGATTGTTGGTCCGATTTGTGTGAGAAATAATGATTGATAAAATCCCTTGGCAATGCCACGACCATCATCTGTAGAAAATCGGCAAAATTTAAAAAATAAAAGCAATGCTGTAAAAAGAAAAACTAACTCAGATTAGTGAGTTGTCGATGTCGATCGTAGAATTGATTGCGAATACACACGAGATCCTTTCGGGCACTTTGTTTAAAAAGCGTTTCAATGATTCGAACGATTTCACGTGGTCGAATATTCGTTTTGTTCTGGACGAAATTTTGCAAATTTTGAATTCTATCCTGACGGACAAGATTTAATTTGGTCAAATGAAATATCTTTTTTTCATTGTCTTGTTCCATTCTTATCTGGATCGGTAGTTTTACCTCAGGCAATATTTCTCGTGCATACAATGTTTTTCCTTCGTCGTACCTAAACATGAGTTTTATTACACTGGGAAAATCTTAGGAAAACATTAATATAGTTACCATACAACAGGAAAATTTTTTTGTTCCCTAAGAATAGTTTGCATAATGTCCCAACGCGCATTTTTACGTGCAGCATGCGATTTCCCACTACGATCAATCATCATAAGCTCAATATCGTACTGATAGATGGTTGCATCAGCAATATTCACAGAAAAATGATTTGTGTATACGTGTATTTTTCGCCCTTGTGAGCCACCTACGTCCGGACGAGAAACAGGAGTTAGAACAGCTGATTCCGGCACTGCTGAACATAATTGCTGGCGGTGATTCACTTGCCGAACACTTTGAGACCGAACAGTTTTCGCTTCTGTTCCGGTATCGACCCGTAAACTTTTCATTGACTCATTTAGAGTCGGATATGCACTAGCAGAGCGCTCAGCTGCACCGAATGGCCTCTGTTCCCTAGTATTCATGTTTGCTGCAGCTTGATTTGTATAATTGGTCGATGCGGTCGATTTTGCATCTGCTCGAGCTAAGAAAGCAAGAAGTTATTCATGATTTTTAATTATAAAATTTACTTTTTCGATTTTGACGTCCTGACATTCTTTACTTTTTGTGTAGCGGGTTCGCCCTGAGAGAGAATTAATATAATAAGTAACAGTAGATTACATAAATGCGAGTTACCTTTTTAAAGGAAAATAGGATAATAAAGTTTTCTACGCCAATTAATTATCAACGATTGCGATTATGAAATCAAGAAAAGAACAATTAAAAATATCGTTTGAAATTATGTGACTAACGAATTCTTGTATCTAAAATAATAATTATTTAATTTAATTATACTTATATTCTCCTACCTTAGTTAGAGACAATATAAAAATGTTAGAAGAGTTGAAATTAATGATCTGTCTAGTGTATAAATACAAGATGGCTTGGGTATTTCAGTAAGAAAAACCCAGTGCAGTTGCACTAAAAAAAGAATTACTCATCGAAAGCAGAATGAAATAGAAACTCAAATAATATGAGAACGCAAGAAAAAAGAACGATAAGGCACGCGTAAAACGCAAGAAGTACGCACTAAAATGTTGCATCGCATAGCTACTCTTATTTTTCCATGTCATCAGTCTTCGCAACAACGTGATGTCATTTTACAAATAAATTTTGATTTCTTGCATATGGTTTAGAATTAATTCTTACAGACTTACTTCTTATCAAAATATTATGATTCATCGAAATCGTAATACTCCGAGAAATCAGAATTTTTCTAAAACAATTGAATGAATTTACAATGCAGTATACTATTTGATTGACACTGTTGGTAATAGAATCGGGCGTATCATTAGCAATGGCAATCTTTTTACTGTATGGTATATAAACGATTGAAGAGAACACATATTTCAGTGTTTGTCTGTTCTTTTCTATGAATCAGATACAGTTGATGTTCTCGATTATTTATGTTTATCGTCCGCGAGCTTGCGAGAAAAATAATTTATAATAATTTTTCGCCAATCGGATTCCAATACGCAACAGTCAATGCTGTTGGAACAAGTAGATATTCATGGTTTTATCAGTAGCGTCAAACTTGAAACTTGAATTCAATTGAAATTTCAACTTTCAAAACAACAGCCATCTAAAGAATCGTGACACGTGCATGTCATCACTGCCAGTTTGAAACGCTGGATACGCGACGGAACACGTGCATTCTGGTGTTGATATCTCGGGAAAATGAACATACTATCTGAGACGGATAAAAAAAGCGCAGAGATCTCTTGTTACACACTTTTTTTTTATCCTGTAAGTCATTTAAACCTACTTATGTAGCCCATCATATTTCCTCATGAATTATCAAAGAATTAAATTTACAGAATGTAGTTAATAATAGAAAGGCCGAAACGAATTATATCGAGCTTCGGATAGAGAATTTTCATAATTTCTACTATCGATTCGTAACGCTTGTCACAATATTGGTCCACAATGACATGCTCTAGATTGGCGCCTTGATCATAATAGTCTGTATGATCTATAATAAGTTCTAAGCAAAATTCTATTCGTTTGATGCCGTCATACAGACACTTCTGAAACAAATTTGATCTGAAATTCAGAATTTTCTAAAACAACTGACTCAAGTGGTGTTAATTCAATCCAAATATATGCGAAATACGTGTATATGTGTAAGTTACTAAACACATCCGCAATTCTTTATGTTGAAATTAATAACTATAAAAATGTTTTGATTGAACTCGTGCCATCAGAGTATGCTGCTAAATGTTTCTAGCGCTTAAAAAACGTGGTTCCATTGTATTGCTTGACATGGAAGAAATTTCACTTCTGCATCCTTACGACTTTTCAAGAACAGAATGAATCACAACGAACACATTTAATAACTACACGTATAAAAATACGGAGAGAGAAACCAATAGTGAAAGTTAGCAGTCGGATAAGAAGTGCGTATCAGCAATACATTTAAAAACGTAAGCACTCGTCTTTTTCCGATAAACAGCGTGAGTGGATGAAGATAAGCTCTTGAAAGTCAGATAAATTTATTTCTATTTTGCATTTATACGAGGAAGATGATTTAACATTTATGAAGATGAAAGCAATAGAAATTACGATATACTGAAGTTTGCCTGTTGACAACAGTAAACTAATTAAATTCAAATTTATTTTAGAAATCAGGATATTGTATTCACAATGCAGGATTTTCGGAGAAGAATTTTACTTGTATGTGATAGACTTCTCATCGGGCTTTTTTTCAAGATACTCCAGTATATTCACTCAAATATTTACGTTTGCCTTTTAAGCATTAATGGATGTGGTAAACACATTTATCTGAGCTGAGTGGCAAGCATATATTTGTCTAAGTTCGATAAAAAGCTCCTCCTTCTTCCCTCACGCTCTACTCAAGATGTTTTATAGTATTATTGAATTTTCGATTCATTTATAGATTCAAATAAACGTTATTAACTTAACTACAGAATGATCGATCTGAACTCCACTCAATCAACCGATTCTGGGAGAGAAGCGATGGATCAGACAGTAGGCTCGGATTACGATCTAGGAACTCAGACCACATCGAGCCTATTAGGTAAGAAAATGCCTTTACGATGATATAGTTAGAGTTTCCCCGAAGATCTTCTTTTTTACGAAGACATTTATATGTCTATATCAACATTATGTTAATACGACATCATTTTAAACCAGAGCTATAGGGCAAATACAAATACTTTTGTCCGAGTTCTATTTTAAACCAGCTGAATTATGCTCATGAATCAAAAGCAAAGCTGGCTATCTGTACGATAACTTCTCGTGACTGTAGAGTAGATTCAGATTTGCTAGTGAAAAATTTATTTTTTCGAATGCATAAACGTATTTATAGTAAACTGTATCGGACACAATTAACCGTCTTGGTTTAGCGGCAGTTTTTGAACAAGAATTTTTTAAATGAAGTTCAAGTAGAGTGAACGTCGAAATTTTCAGGACATTTCTGTTGTTTCAACTGCACATTTACAACATCGAAAAACGCCGACAAATTGAGATATAAGTTAAAATCAAGCAAAAAGGATAAGAATCAAACAAGAGAAAGCTATGCGTTGGTATAGATTATTTTTGGATGTATTTCAACTCAAAAATATGTTCTTGGTAGAGTAAATTTTTGTATTTTAGATAGCATTGATAGCAACTGGCGACCCAGCACACCATTACCAAGCTTTGAATGTCATGAAAATCCAACCAGTAAGTGCTTTTGAATGTGAGTTTGTCAGTGTCAAAGTTACATGCAGAGTGAATTTGTAAACAGTAGCGTAGTCAATGGGACGTAAAAGTCGAATATCGACATTATTCAAACATTCGACTACGTCTTTTATAATAAATAAACCATTGTTGGGCGATAGGAAATGCATACATTTCGTGAAACGACGTGGATACAATTTTAAATCCATTTGACTTCGTCGAATTTTTCAGTAACGTTCAGTTGAATATTGAATGATCGATGCTTTAAGTTGGCACCCTGCTTAATAAATATCGACATCAATCCACTGTAGACAGTTCGAAAACAATTTCAGCATGATTAACAAACTTTCGAGCCAAAACGAAATGTTTATTGCACTTTGCATCCATAGCAACGATTTCTATTGTCACCCTAGTCGAACTTCTTTTTGTCGTGCGCATGAAAAACATGAGCATCTTAAGCTCAAGCCTTGGCAAGCGCTTGAATAAAAAAGTTCGACTAGGGCAAGCTAGGAATAGAAAGTGTAGACAACCAAAGTATGGTAGAAAAGTATTTTGACTACTATATTCCAGACGAATTTGATTTCATACGCCAATTTGTGTGCCTACGACAAATCAACATATGAAGCATCAGAGTTGTGATAGTTTTAGAAAGAAAACTGTTAGCATGTCCATTGTGAGATTAAAATTTGAAAAGAGATACCTCTACTCTATTCATAATCAAGACATTTTCAAAAGTTCAACTCAACTTTTATCGTATCCCAAAAAACAGAATCACTAGAAACCTTTAACAACTTTTTATAGAACATCAACAGTAGGTACGAGATTCTGTATTAATAGATCATATAATTGACATTTTCAAACAATCAATTTTTTTAAGTAGTTGATAATATACTTATATTATAGGACTAAGTCCGACATTTTTACGTCGAATAGTCATTTACTTGGTCATTCTTTTTCCTCAGTAGCATCTGATTGTTTGATAAGATTTAAAATAGAATATATCAATTAGTCGAGAACAGAATTATTGAAGTTTTGCATTTGTTCAAGCTAGTTTTGTTTCGATAATAGTTTGTCCGGCTGTGTTTCTCCACTCTGTCATAGGCAAAATTTAAAAATTGTTTTCTATTGTATTTTAATAGTCAACCAAAAGCTCCGTGACTTAGCTTTCCGACATGAAACACAAAGCAAAGAAATCAAGCGTCTTTGTCAACTAGAAAAATTCAAGATAGTCGTTCTTTGCGACGATTCCGGCTCAATGATGGAAACTGTGGGTGGGTCTAGTCGTAGTCGCTGGGAAGAGCTTCGCGAAATTGTGAAGCTTGTTGTTGCAATTGGCTCCATATTCGATACTAACGGCGTTAATATCCGTTTTCTCAATTGTAAAGATCGATATACGATCAAGGATCCCGATGAAATTAATCGCCTATTTGCCGGCGAACCAAAGGGTTATACGCCATTGGTGCGTTCCGTACGGGAGATTCTCAAATTACCAGTGACCGCAGCTAACAGCGACAAAAAATTATTGTTATTCATTGCAACTGACGGCTATCCAACAGATGCAAATGGTGTGCCGAATCTGTCCGAATTTGAACATGTTATGCGAAATGAACGAAAATCAGATACTACTTATGTATCGTTTCTGATGTGCACGGACGATCAGGAATGTGTTGATTACCTGAGTAACTTTAGCCGAACGATGGCAAACATTGATGTGACAGGCGATTTTAATACAGAACGAATGAACATACGTAGAGAACGAGGAGCGAAATTTCCATTCTCGAAAGGCGATTACATAACTAAAGTCTTAGTTGGCGCAATCAGCCGAGAAAAAGTTCCAAGTAATGAACCTGATAATGCTAACAACAGTTAAAAATATACAACAATCGATTGAGACTATAATACAATTTCAATTCAAATCTTTCACGCGACATAAAATACTGTTTTTATTCTAGAGATTTCAATAGAAGACAAATGAATTATTTTAAAATCGTCTACATTTCGATTCTTCATACATTTACTATTGTTAAACTTGAATAAAGTTTTTCAATTACAAATAAATTAAAGTAAATTGAAATTTTTTAGATTGTTTTCTCGTTGATTTGCGTGTACAGATATGTGAATAGAAAGAAAAAGATATTCATACTGCATGTCTTTCATGTAGAATTTTTCTCTACAACGGGGATTGTCTTGAGAGGGGAGGGGGGAGGGGTCAATCTTTTTAATTTACTATCTTTGGTTTGAATAATAGTGAGAGTAATTTTTTACAGTCGCCCGCTAAATTTTTATTTTTAGGCTTATGAACCAAAAGAATAAAAATTCATAGGAAAATTGCAAAATAACATCATCAAAACATAACGAACAAGATATACTGTTAATTTCAGATGGCAAGGCATAAGCAGATTGTACTCGAACTCCACGAAATATTCGTTTCGATCTATTTGGCCAATTCCACATTGAACAACGAATGATTACATATGGTTTATATTCCAATCGCAAGCAAGTGCTATTGTATAGTATCAAAACTCAAATAGTAGAATGTCACCTATCTTATTGAAAGTGTTTACGGATTTCATGATTATCAATGGTATGAAAATATCAATTATTATCGTGCTTTTTAAAGCCATGAGATGAGAAACAAGAAGATGGATTGTGTTAAAATCTTCGTTCCAAAGGCACAATACGTCTCGATCGTTGTAAGCATGTGAGTCGTTTCTTTACAATGCTACGAAAACGAGGCGATAATAACATGAATATGTAAAATCTTCCCTGAAAAATTCCAAAGAAAAACAACTATGTAAACATTAAAGATGAATAAATACTTACTGCATAAGCGGCTGATCCGATCAAATACATGGTATTAGAAACTATGTTTTCCTTTACTTTTCGATCTGGACTCTGTTGAAGATTCGACGTTATAACTGCATAAGTATTATAAATACCATAAGGAGTTAAACCTATCAAAGTGAGCAAGACAAGGGGGAAAGGCGGATTTGGGATTTTGAAAATCCAAAAATCCAAAACGTGAATGATGGAATTTCCATCTGAATTTTTTTGCCATATGTAAGTCTCATGATTCTTAGAATATGCTAAAATTTTCAGCGCAAACAGACGTTTCCTCCTCAAGATAATGAATGCGCAAGAAATAATCATTTCACGGCACGGTCAGAAAATCCAGTTTTTTTGAAAATTCAATATTTTAAGAAAGAAGCATTTAGTCGAGTTGAAACTTTTAGGATCTTTTATGGACCATGAAACCTATGTATGGGAAGAATTTCAGGTCGAAACTACGTCATTCACAGAGGGGGAAATTCTTTTCAATTTATGAGATTTTGAAAGTCCCAAAAATCCGCTTTTTCCCTCTTGGAGCAAGGCTTTCATGAAAACTTTGATTGTTATTTGTCGATCAATGTGTAATCGTGCGAGCATTGCTATCTTTCCTATATTTCGATAAGTTAAAATTCCAAATATCGCCATGATTAAAATATGAAAAATGCAGAGAATGAGTATGTGAAAAACTACAGCATACGCAAAAACTATACTACTCATGTAAACACAAATGACAGTAATTGGTGATAAAGTTCGATCAAATAACCAGAGGGTGCCATGGAGCCACCAAATAATAGCAAAGAAACCAGAAGCTAGATGTGCATTTTTAATACTGGTCAATTGGCGGAAACCTACACGCTGACTTGTAATCAGAAATTGATCGATTATTGCTAAACTTACGCAAGTCATAGGTACGGCGCCACAGCTCGAAGTGAAAGGCATGCGGTAACAAAAAGAGGGCCAAGATATGTTATAAACTGCGCGCATTCGTGCAAAACAGAAATTATAAAATAAAATGCACACGGTGTCTTTAGATAATAGGGTCCACTAGTTAGAATAAATGCCTGTATGATGCTTTCAATAAGCCCCACAGCCATATCAACGAGACCGCAATTAATCAATCAATCAATGCTAATGGTACCATGATACATTATTATTGCAATAAACTAACTTGAAATTGATTGTCACCTAAATGTTTTCCCTATAATATCTTTGAGCTAGGTTCGACTCCTATGAGAAGAGTGTTGCTAAATGCAATGTACTAATCGATTTTGGCAAGCTTATGCTGTCTGTCGTTTATTTATATATATATATATATATATACTAGATTATATCCTAGTGTGAAAGAACATATAATGATGCAATAGTCAATACTAATTTTCATGGCACTAAAATGAAGAGAATGGAAATAAGTTCCAACTAGTGAACATACTTGAAGATAATGATAATCTTTGTTTATTCTTATGAAATGCTCTTTAAACAATGAGGAAAGACTTAATTAAAAGAGCGACATTGTTATTAAAAGGTGTATTTTTGAATGATCATTCAAAGAAAACAAAAATATGTGCTAGACAAACACAATGACTTTCGAAAAGCTGAAGATGCGTGATGATAAAAGTGCAAATAACAGAAAATTTCACCTATTTTTTACGTCAATGCCAAGCTTGAAAATTTTCCGTGATGTATTTATCTCAATCATGATAACTGTAATTGTAATTTTTGTTTTACTTGATCGGCTGACCCAACAACTACAAGTCACTAATGTATTTGATCATAGACGACGAAGATAATGCGATTTCTTTACAAGACTTTAGCACAAAAAAAAGTCCAGCTAAGGAATCAATAAAGCGAAGTAAACGGAAATGGATGGTTTTCGTCGAATAGCTTTACTGTCTAGAATACTGAGAACATGATAGCTATAACTCTTAGAAGAAATGCAATAGTTGCCAAAAACAAGAAAAAAACGATTTAATTAATCAACGTATAGAGACGTGCTCTTAAAGGTGTGTGCACTAAACACGAAGGTAAAGGTGGAATATAATAAGGTAAAGTCATGCAAGTGTCTCGCTTTTACATCCAAGCAAATAAAACAACAAAACAAATTAACCGTTAAAATGAAATAAAAAACAGATGTCTATCTTAGCTTGATAGATAGATTCGATACCAGTCAGTTTAATAAAAAAATATAAAGCTTTCGAGTTATTAGACAAATAGAAGCTGCTAGAGAAAGAAAGAAACCAAGAGACGTAGAACTAATAGAAAATGCGCCGATGTTCAACTCTATATGGATTGCATAACTTAGGTCATTCATTGTAAAAATTAGAACGTTCAGGTCAAATTCAAGAATAATAATTTTATCTCGCATAATATGTGAACAATAGTATCCGTTATAGAAGTAGCTATTGGTATCTTATTTTTACCGAAATTTCAACATACAGTATCGTTTTTTTTCGCAGTGAGATAAAAAGTCATAAGAAAATGTATGCCAGATGATTTGTCTTTCTGAAAATAGATACTTTTTACACTGATCATGAATCATATGTAAAAATTGGCACCCCATTAAAACAATCATGGATGATTTTCTTTGAAAATACTTAGAGCACCGATTATTGTTCACACAAATATTTTTCATATCGATAACAGTATCATTTCAATTTTCGTTTTTTACGATGCTGGTAAGGTGAGAGATTAATACATTCCGTTGAGCATAGCAAGAGCTACTAGGAGAAGAACGAAAGCCAAGAAGAAAATATATCAACGTCATCCGTGAGTATACGGGATATGGGTTCGAAACGTCATTATCGAACCACCTGAGGCATTGCGCGATACTTGAAACGAATGCTATTAACATGGGCATGAATATTTGATCACAATTTGTTTGCTCAACCATTGATATCTACAAGAATTCAATGCTTGATGTTCAAATAGCATAGATCCCTCTACTGAATTATTCAGGCGGATCTTATATCGTGTCAAGTATTTCACGCAAAAGTTCTCGATCGATTTCGCGTTGAACAACGATGAGAAAATAAAATCATTCAAACAAGGAATACCGAGTAGCCAAGTAAATATGGTAAGGATATGTGTTGAAAAAGATCCGGCGAAATTTATGGAACGAAGCGCCATACAAACTACACAATTTCAAAAGAGCTACTATTTGCCTAATCTTTCTCTGGGATATTGAGAATATTGTATTTTAACTTAATTAGCACGATATCTGGTAGCCTAACTATTTGAAAATATTCATCCGTCCTATTATGTAATCTTTCATTGATAGATATCAATTCAATTATTGATGAGCTATATCATAAGTATCTCCACTTATCTACTCTAATGCTATACTCATGTTTAATTATCACGCATTGCGTAAATGTCGGATAGGATAGAAATATCTTATTATCAGACTTAATATATGTCAGGAAAAGGGCGAGCACTTGCTGAAAACAAATGAATATTTGATCGCATTCATATATGCATTGAGTGGCTAATTGCAACTACGGACTATTTAATTTTAAGCTGCTAGGTTTTATTTTATTTAAAAAAATGTAGAATGATTTAGGTTAAAGAATTAAGAATGAATATAGGGTAGTGCAATATACATTTATCTTCAACATTTTTTTTTGAAAACAAAACGAATGTGTGTTATTTTCAATAGGCCTAATTTTGATTGGTCTACTTGATTTCATGACAATTAATTCATGAAATTTATTGCAAATCCGGAATAAATAAATCATAATTTGAAAAAGGTACTACGCCATTACTTTTCTCCGTGTTTTCCAACCAAAATTGCACCTTTAAATTGTTGATTTCTCGTTTAGGTTGATTTTGCGAACGAGACGTTGACGACAATTTGCTTTTGCTGTTTAGTGCTACTTTCTTCTTAGTTCTTTTATTTTTCCAACTGACAATCGTGCTCAAACCAATCAATACTAGAAGATAATCAACAATGGACCAAAAATAAGAGTCCAAAAAACCACTGTTAGCAACACTATCTTGAGGAGTCCAATCCATCATTTCACACTGTTCAAAATAACACCAATTTCGATTTGGAAGCAATTTTCGTAGAAACAATTTTGCTCCATATTCAGGTGCTTGATTAAAAAATTCAATCAGCGCTTCTTCGGTTTTAACAATCGGATACCATGTAGTACTAAATAGATGTGCAGCACGAATAACTATTCTTGGTGGTGGACTATTGACAATGGCAGATGAAATTATTTGATACATCAATTTGGAATCATGAAGAGGTGGTGTAGCATGTCTTTTGGTTCGAAACCGAGCGACACCACAGCAATGAACATCACCACTGAACAATGTTACTCGTGTTCTTTTCTTTTCAGAAAATTCTTGAAGACGAGCAAGAATACGGTTTCGCTCTTCAATATGCGCTTCGTGTGTCCATTCATCTAGTAGATCATCATAGAGTTCAGGTAATCCAAACACGGAATTTGTCTGTTGACTAAATGGAATATTTCGCCATCGCATAACCACTTTTTTCCATGTGTCAAGCAATGATTCAGCCAGTCGAAAACGTGGAAATGAAAATGGAACAGCTACTAAAACAATCAAATGTTGGACATTTTCTAGTTCATTATCCAATTTTTCGAAGATCATATTCCATGAATTTTCATGTGCAACTGTTTGATTGCTGCGTTCCGAACGACCATCCGTACCCAACAAGGCTAAATTTGGGCCGCACTGAGCAAGAAAATTGTGACCCTGATACCCGAATAATCGATGTTGTCGAGCTTTGCTCGGCGTTGTATGATGCTGAAAGAGAAGTCGCATTTTTTGTGCCATGCGAAATAATTCTGTCATGACTGGACTGTCATTCAATAACGGTGGATAAGATCCAGCACCATCGAAAATGTCATGATCATCCCACATCATAAGACTTGGAACCGATCCTAGTGCTTGCTTCATTTCTGGCCGGCGTTCCCAATGTTCAGTATAGTTATTAAAATAGTATTGTTCGATTTCTTGTGCTGCTTCTTTTGTAATTGAAAATTTCCATTTTTCATCCCATTCCATACGAGACCAATTTTGAAGAAAGGGAATATCTTCAAGAACGAAATCATTATAGACTTGATCACCGCCCCAAACTAGAAGATGAAACGGATTGATTTCATGAATAGAAAGTAGATCGTCCCATACAGCATTGTAAGTTAAGCCCAGTGCCACCTCCTTCGAAATAGTAGCATCAAAACCATTACAGGAAAAAAATGCACCGCGCCATTTTTGATCATACTGAGCAATGCGAAATGTTCCATTTGTTGTATAATCACCCCAATCAACTTCCCAATTGACTTTTTCGTCATATTTGCCTCTATGTAATTCAATACTGATATTGACTCGATAAGCTCGCATATCAAATAAATTTTCGTATAAAACTTCCCAATCGTAAGTAACGGCAGCTTTTGCGTTGAATTCAATCGATGGTCGAGCACATGAAACATGCCGAAATATTAAAGCACTTCCAATCCATTGCATACTTTTTAAATCTGTTGTGATAAACTGATAGTAGGGTCCTAATGCAGGACCAGGTGGTCTTGGTGGTCGTTGCACCGAGTCATCCGTAGAGGTTTCTAATAACTCACTTGTTTCACTCATCTTATTGTTAATTGGTTCCTATAAAGCCTTTTAGATTTGCTTCAATTATTCCGAATCGATTTGCTTCTGAATAATTTACTTTTCTTTTTACATCTGGAACAAAAGAATGTGATAGGTTAGTTTTATGCATCAAAATTGCTTGTATTATATGAGCGTTTACATATTTTGTGGGCTATTTAAAAATACACTTTTCGTTAGTTCGTTACTGATTATTTGACACAATTTGTTTATTATATTCTTTTAGCAGCTTGGCAAGTCCTGCTGATGTGAATGGAAACATATTTCGATATTTTTCTTGAAGGCGACGGTTAACAAAAAAAAGAATTCCTAAAGATAATGTGACTATCTCTGATGGGATGAGTCTGACGGGTGGGCCATAAAGAATGGCGGTCTCATTATTTACTCAATATCTTTTTTGCTCTTCATTGATTTGAACTGAACATTTTCTCAAAAGATTGAGCATTCAATTCTCTACAGACTCATGTGTAAAAAACGTTTTTAAACTACAAAACGGCTAAGTACTAGAACGAAGAAAAAAGGTTAAAAAAGCTTCAACTTTCAAGCTCAACAAATATTAACATTTGGCGTATGTTTCGATAATTTATACGCAGACTTAACTTAGGGGAGAAACATTTTCTGGTATTTTCAAGTACGCTCTTTTCGATATCTTTGAAAAACATTTCTTTAAAAGTGGTCTTCGCCTATTAAATCGATATTTTCTAAAAACTCGCCCATAACTAGGGGTGGCACTTTAACTTTACTTTAACCGTAAAGTTTAAAGTTTAAAGTTGTTTAAAGTCGCCTTTAAACGCTTATTTTTAATACTTTCTACTGTACCGGCGTATTTACTCATGCTTATGAGACTCTCTGCAACAGATAAAACGTAAAAAATAAACATTTAACTGTGACTTTAAACAACTTTAAACTCAGTACTTTACGGTCAATTTAAAGTTAAAGTGCCACCCCTACCCATAACGCCTTAAGTTCGGTTTACAAGAAAGTCTACTGCAAACGAAACTTTGCATCATTGGAACAAGTGTACAGCGGTGCAGTCGAGTATGTTGGCTTTCAAAGAACAAAAAATCGTCAAAAAATAACACTTTTTAAGCGAATGGGATGCGTTCTAGTACAAGCATCACAAACGTGACATGACAGTTGTGTTTTTTAGAAAAAGCGAAAAAATGGATCCAGAATTTTTTACTCATTTTGTAATGAAAACAAAATTCGAAAACATGAATCTTGCCCAGAATCTGATGCTCTTTAGCATGGTAGACTGAGTTCTTTTTGTAGGTCCTCACGTGGAAAGCAAATTTTAAAAAAAATGGATTTAGTGCTTGAAAGTTGAAGATTTTTCGACCTTTTTCCTTCGTTTTAGTACTTAGCCATTTTGTAGTTTAAAAAATATTTTACACGTGAGTTTGTAGAGAATTGAATGCTCACTCTTTTGGGAAAATGTTCAGTTCAAATCAATGAAGAGCAAAACCGATATTGAGTAAATAATGAGACCGCCATTCTTTATAGCCCACCCGTTACTCCAATCGATTCTTTCGTAACACACATCGTTTCGCTCAAATACAAAACACATTTTTATACGCAGTCAGGAATCATACGAGAAGGAAAATGTAAGGGTGAAAGAATAACTAGAAAAAGAAAATATACACATGAATAATAATAATCAAGGTGAGAAAGATTGCTTACGGCGCATAGAAGCGTAACAGAAAAATAAAGGTGAAAAGATAAATTTGAATATCAGGCATGTGCAATCAATTCAACCAAGCAAGAGGGTTAGAATTGTATCCAATAGAATCCAACAGGAACATTACAGATATAAATAAAGAAAATAAAAGTAGTGGATTAATCTACAAAAAAAGTGTGATTTGAATGCAATCGGAATCGCATGGATTATTTTCCGGTTACAATTGAGGATAATATGAAAACATTTTGGCAAAAACATGGAATAAACTATTGAAGTCTCTCGCTATACATGGATCGTGAGTTTCTTACAGTTGAACAAAGACAAAGACTACCTGCTTAGTGTTGGAGATTATAAATCTAGAGTCAGCTGATGTTTGCTCTTCGAGGATTTATCATCACTTGTTTTACTTATGATCTGGATAAAACATCGAGTTTCGATTGAATTGAAGAACGAAAACGCCTAACTGCTTTCTTTCAACCAGACATCAAGCGTCTGTTTTTATTTTACATTGCTCGAAAGCATACTCTATTTTTTTCTGATTCTTCTCTTAGAAGCTAAATCAATAGTCGAGGCTCGAGCGAATGCGTTTCTTCTCGTGATATGAGCAACATGGTCATAATGAAACGTGTATGTCATAAAAAATATGCAATTTCATCCTGTCTAAACATTATTAGTGGGTGTCTCAGTCATTGAAGTCGAGCAAGAATCAGTAGTTTTGTTTTCTAGAAGAGAAAAATTTCTTAATATTGTATTTTTTTTTCTATCAAACGAGATGCAATGCTACATTGACTTCGAGTTTAAAAGGCAGCAGATTAATCTGTAGAACTCATTTGTTCGACTGAATAAAAAAACTGCACATCTCACTAGATTATTTACATATCGATGCAATATCAATGAGCAGTGACTTCGACTTCGCATTCGTTTTCTAAAGACACAATTTTTGCCATTTTTCCTCAGAGGTGTACAAAAATAAAAATTCATTAAAAAAAAACAAGCTATCCTTGTTTATATGCCAGTTAAAAATAGCAACTGTAACCACATGATGCATTTAGAAAACAGGAAAAAAATGAGTGTTATTATTGACTTACGTTTTACTCACGTCAGTCAACTGTCCTATTCGACTCTTCATAAAATATTCAGAATAGCCGAGCTCTTTTTAAGAAAGTAAATATTGACCATGTTGCTTATGACTGAACTAGTGACTGAATCCCTAATCGACTCTCCCCTAACGACTCCCCGGGGAGTCCCCGTAAAATAACGAAATCCCTGGGGAGTCCCTGTCGTGAGTCCCCGGGGACTTTTTATTTGGGGGACTCCCCGGGGATTTCTCTGTGGAAAATTGATGAAACTTTTTAAAATAAAAAAAAAACTTTTTAATTTTTTTAATTTTTAAAAAATTAAGAAGAATTAATTTTATTAGTAATTAGTTATTTCATCGATTTTGACCAGATAACTCCCCGGGGAGTCCCTAGGGAGTCCCCACAAAAGAACGAAATCCCTAGGGACTCCCTGGGAATTCTTCTAGGGAGAGTTGACTAGGGATGGACTTGTATTGAGCAAGACAGCAGCATACGACAGGAAAAATCTCCCCAGGCGTAATAATCGATTCTGCAAGTTTTCCCCACATGGACTGTACGAACCAGAGATGTCAGCAGGCCACTTTTTTCCGGCCTGACCTGGCCTGCCCTGCAGGCATTCATGAAACCAAAAACGTTATGTGTATTTTTATAACATATTCAGTAGGTTCAATTTTTAGTCATGATGTTGAGGATTAATGTAATTATTTACTTCTTTTCTTAATAGTAATAATATTAAAAAGTTGTTTTATGTATTAGAAAAGAAAAACTCTCTGATTTAACACCACTAGCATTTCACATAAGAAACAACCACTACTAGACAATTTATAAATATGAACTGTTATAAAGTAATAAAAGATTAAAATGCATTTACTGCTTTGTCCTTGTCTTTGGTTTAGCTTTTTTATTGCACCTTTAGCGTTAATCGTGGGAGTGAATTCAATCCAATCATTATTCGCTTTCTTTTTTTTCTGAATTTGCAAATGGACTATGGCGATACCTACCCGTGTGGCCGATAATGTAAAATAATGGACACTATTTTACATTATCGGCTGCATGGGTAATACAAAATTTAGCAGATAAAATCATTCCCAGTCAATTTTGAGCAGGCCAGGTTGGTATCTCTGGTACGAACATGCAGATAGATTCTTCATCCGTACTTTTCCTTCTATTGTATTAGGGACGTTTGTGCTCGTGAGAGAGACAGAAAAAAGATCAGTTGTAGTGGCACGCCTAATCATTGAAATGTGTATGAAGTATTTTGAGAGATAATGTATATTTAAAAACGCTCTGCTCAGACTGTTCGAGCAGAAAATTTGGTAGAGACGCGTGGGAGTTAATCATACAATCTAATTACTTTCAAGAGCTGGTTTGAATTCGTTTATTAGCATGAAAGGAATGCTTTTCTTTTGCATTGAAATGTGTAATCTTCACGAATTTCAAATGTTTTTCTATGTCGATTGTTTGCAATGCGAACTTAATGCATGGCCCATACACAATAGCTATTAATTGGCGGACTATAGTGTGAATGAGAATACAGAGCAGCACTTGGCAAATACCTCACATACTTTTATTCGTATTTCGATAGTTCTATACACGTTTTATTTCAAACTATTCTAAAGTTTTTGATCTTCCTTTTTTTTAAATCGTAGATTTGTCTTCACCTGTAGCGGAAACACATTTTTGATTAGGTGAACTATTCAATTGTGTCTTTGTGACGTTGGTGCAAGTGTGTCTGACTACACAGTGGAAGATAGACGACTCCCGTTTGTTAATCATTTATCAGTATGGCTGTCTACTAAAATTTACTCGTTGAAAATCAATCGAGCAGCTACTTGGATTTCTCTTTTTGTATGAATTTATCGAGAAAAAAGAATTATGAAATACTACCATACGTGGAAAAAATTGAGGCAATTCCATTATGCACACGCGCAGACGTTTTGTCTGCTAACAATGAGTCATATGACGAAATGAGAAGTCATAACTCTTGGATGGATTCAAACCATCTTTCTTCCGGTTAACAGCAGAATGCGTTTCCAATTACGCCGCAAGAGCACGACAGAATAAGAATTTTAAGCTCTTCAAAACTCCCGTTAATTACAGGCGAAGCGTATATACGAAGGGTGACAGTCAGAGTTCTCATTTGATACTTAACTGCATGGTACATAAGCAAAAAAAAGACCTTCACTCGATTACATCACTATTTCCACCCTAGTAAAGAGTTTTAGCGGCACAATTCAATTGTACACGTGCATTTATTTCTGAGAATACGAACTATTCTTGAGTGCGCAATGCAACTATCATAATTTAGAAGATTGATATGAATAATCACACGTTCCTCTCTGTTTATTATTCAGTCGAAAAGATCGATCGACTTTGAACTCTCAATAATGTATAACCGCTCGTTCATTAGAGTTACCAATGTGCTTTAAGTTGCTCTAGACATCATCTCATGAGAAATTATTGAGAGTAAAAAGCCAAGCCAAACTCATGAACAAACATTTTATTTGTAATTTAAGTGTAAAATCTTTGCCTTTTTTTGATAATGTCAAAGTAAATTTTATCGATATATAATTAATTTTGTCTTTCGCATATATAAATATGAACACAAAGTTTTAAAATGAAAAAGAAACCGAAAGATATCAAACACACACACACACACACACACATACTACACATGTTCTAAGTGTCGTTCTTTTGATTTCCTCCGGTGCTTTTTTGTAATGGCTGTTGGCTGTTGAACATTTCCAGCAATAGCATTATCGCGTACTGTTAATGCACTTGATGTTCTTCTAGCTCTTGGTAGGCCTGCTTGTTGCTGTTGAAAAACATCACTTAATTTACCTCGGGTATTTTTACTTGATTGTTGTTGATTTTTATCTTGCGCCAATGCTTGATAACGCGATTTAAATACATGATCAAGTGATTTATTATATAAATGACGTTTATTCGATGCTTGACGTCGTTTTATAGCTTCATAATTGCTGCCATATGTTTTAACTGATCCCGAGACGTATCCACATAGTTGACTCATGTCACTATGATCTGTTGTGTCTAAATTTCGTTGCATATCATTGACTTTCGCTGCTGTATCGCTCCATTGTTGTGATGTGCATGGTGAGTTTCTTATGAGTCTACTGCCGCCATGATAGACAAGACCAGTCGTTGATAGATCAGGCTCCGATGCTAGTTTATCATCTTGATCAGCATCCTCATTATCATCATCATAGTCAGGTTCAGGTAAATCTTCTTCATCGAAACCTTTCAATTGTTGTAAAGCTTTAACTTGTTCAACAGCATCTTCAACATTATCCGTAGTGAAATCGCCACGTCGATGACTACGACTGTTTTTGCCATTGTTTCGTTGACATATTTTCAAATCTGTTGATGCCAATAAATGTAATAATGTTCCGTAACGATGCCATAACATGGAAACAAATTGTACAAGTAAAATAGTTGCAAAAAAAAGTAAAAAACCTAAGCCAAGTGGCTCGAAACGTAACGGTTCATTATGTAAACGTTTTATTGGTATAAATACATAGTCACGTATACGTTCAGAAACAAGTTGAAATGAAAATATAATAACGAGCCACAATGTATTGATCATAAAAAATATGAAACAGCCATTATTACGTAAGGATTTTAGATCGCGAACCATTTTTTTCTGATGATCTTTATCTTCAACTAACGGGTATAAGTAACGTTCAATTAATTCTTGAAAAAATTTTGTTTCGCGAGAATCAAGCATGACTACTTCCGAGTCTTGTAAAGACTCTTCAAAGATCCAAGCAGGATTTACTAGACAAAAATAAATCATATTATCATTCAAAATAAAAGTCAAGCCTACCTAGTTCATCACGTTTTATAACAGGACCTTCGAATGGACGTGAAACACCGCCATACGACATTATTTGTCCGTAGGGTGTACTTCTGGAATTATTTGCTCCACGATAAATTAATTGTTGTTGATCAGCTTGCGAATAACTAGCGCGATGAGTTAGAGCTCCTGTTGAACCGGCGCGAACTGCTAATTGCATAAGACCATACTTAGGATCGACTTCGGATTCGCCTTGACTTTGATTTTGTTGAGGATATAAACCGGTAGTAGCTACAGCATCCATTTCTTCATCATATTTACTCTTAAAAAAAACAGATCATGCATTATTATTTTGGCAAAATTTTACATCGGTTATATTACTTTTTCCATTCGTTCAACAGCACTTAAAATTTGTTGTAAGAGTACACCATTTAATCCTGACCGCTCTAGGCCAAGCCATTTCCGTGCATAAGAACGTATGCGTTGGTCATATTTTTTAAGATTAAAATTTGCAAATACCTATATTTCAGACAGAAAACAAAAACACTTTGTTTCTTTCTCTTGGAATAAAATTTTCTTACTTGATTCAAAAAGCCAGCTGATTTTTGTTTTGCTTGTGATAATTCTTGCATTTTAGCCCGTTCGATTTCTTCTTTACTTTGATTTTTTTTCACCTTTTTCGGTGCTTCTCTCGTACCCCATGATACAATATTGAGATTACACAGCGAATAAATCAGTAGAAACAAGTATCCACTTGGTATACATAAGAAATAGAGTAAACCAGGCACTATACACCAAAATTCCTGTGGATGCATACAAGCTGCCGTAAAAAATATCGAAAATAGCAGCATCAGGAAAACAGCATTCGGAGACGTCCAAGAATCTTCAGCAATTTGTATCGTGGTACCAACAACGACCGACATCATTATAATCGCATATACAGCCGAAAGAAAAGCTGCTGCACGTATTTGAAAATCAGTCGTCGTATGAAAACATAGTAGAAGATAAAAGAATGCCGGTAAGACAGACATATACATGGACTGCCAGAGACTTGTACCTAAACAAATGTGACGCCGAGTCAAAAATATTGAAAAAAACTGGGAAGTTAAGTCTAAAGACTAGATTGTGATGTTTTTTATTCTTTCCTACTGGCAATCGGCGAGTCTGTTTTATTTTATCTTCAAAATTCATGCATCGATTAAAATCGTCACTCAATTTTCATGATTCGTGTTCTGCAAAAAATAAAGATTCTTTTTTGAAGCATACCAAAACACGCATTGAATGCTCCGATAATCATAAGAAGTACCGTTGCTGGACCCAATACCGTTGAAATCATGAGAAACAGTTGATAGATAATATATAAATATGAGATACTCTCATTAACAAGAACAATTCGTTTATATTCAGCAAGAAAATCGATGATATTTGCAATAGTGGATGGAACCCATCGACGACGTTGATTGAAGAATTCCTAGAATTCATAAAAAAAAAGAAGAAACTGTTTTGTTTTTCTTCAAGACAAGCAAAAACAAACATGAAACGACTCTGGCGCATAAGTCAAAGCATCTGATGCAGCGCAATATTCAACACGATATCCTTCTTGTAATAGAAGTGTACATAGCCAACGATCTTCACCTATAGAAAATTAAATTTAACAAACAATACTAAAAACTTCTTTATTTCAAAAACCTTGATCATATTGTACATAGTGTCGAGCTTCGGTTGATTTCGTACAATATGTACGTAAAACATGGTCATCCATTAATGCTGAACCACGAAAAAGACTGAAACAACCTGGGCTACACATCTTGAGAAAAAATAAAAAAAATATATTCATTCTATAGACGACAATCAATAAAACATACAACACAGCCTAGAATATGTTCAGCTGCTTTTTGAAGCCAATGACCAATAGCATATTCAAATTTTTGATACCAAACAACTGGCCCTACAGATGTTTAAACAGATAAATGTAAATCTAGCCATAGAACTCAATCTTACCACTGCCAATAGGATGAATTCGACCGCATGCAGCACCGACTTTTTTATTTTTCTTCATTCGATCAACAAGTAAACGAACGGCTTCAGGTCGAAAATCTACATCACCATCCAATGCCAATAGATATGTGTTTTCCATCTAAAAAAGAAATAAGCTTTTCGTATTTCAACTACAATAGAAAGATGAAAACTTTTACTTGTATTCGTTTTTTATTATCCATATTATGTAGTAGATTTCCAAAGCCTTTAAATAATTTCGATTTGTTTTTTGATGAATCTTTCTTTCGTTTTCTTTTATATAATTTTTCAATTATATTCAGATCACCGAAAATTCGATAGCCCAGTAAATAGTACATATACATAACCTTCAAAAATACAATCAATAAAATATCAAAAACAAAAAAAAGCCGCATGTATTACTTGACTCCATCGTTTTTTGTGCCGGATTTTTGTTTTGTCTTTGATATGTGCTATTAGAAAATTTCCGCCTGGTAATACCCACGTTAAACGTCCACCGTAGGGTGTTGGTGTTTTAAATGGCGGAGGGATTTTCATTGGACATTGATGGATTGCCCTAAAAGTATTAATGAGCAATGCAGTTTCTCTATAAGGATTAAAATCTTAAATAAAATCGATCTGCATCTAGCGTAATTCAAGGACTTTAACAATCTATGTGTTGTATGAGAACTTCCAAAGGAGCTATTAAAAAAAACATACGTGGCAGCTCGATCCACCACTCCAAGTAATTGCTGGACAAATTTATTTGGTACTTGTTCATTGTTGTCATCTTCTTCCATAGCATCATCGAAGAATATGTGCCCTTCGTATTCGTAATAATCAAGATCTTTAAGATGTAAATAATTTCGAGCTGTCCGTCGAGCACATTGATCACTATCCAATCTATTGGAGACAGAAAAGAAAATGTATTAGTTGGTTCAAGTGTACTACATGACGGAGAGTACACGTCGCGTTTCATTTTACTAACTAGGAAGTAATCTCTAAAAGAATGATATGCATGAACCATAATTACTTTGACAAATTTTGCTGATAGGCTGTCCTGTAGAAAAACGTCATAAAAACGTATACTGGAAATTTCAAACTTTACTAACGGCTCAAAATTCTTCTAAATTAAAGAGCGTAATTGCGACCGACTATTGTATTTAAGTATCCATCTCTATTGGCAAACCTCATAATTGATTTCAATAGTTGTAACATTTCCGTTTCAGTTTCATGCCACATTGTTGCACATGAATAAATTTTCGTGTGTACATCTGCGCTTAATTTTTTCTCCATGGATAATTCTTCCATGCTTTGCTCATCGAATTCCGATTCAGGATTTGCTGCACCCATTTCATCGTATGTGCCAGCTAATATTTCATCGCGTTCATTTCGACGTCGATTCATCATTAACGATTGCTCAAGTAATGTTGCACAATAACGCGGCGAAACAAACAACCTAAAAATTCAACAAACAGATGGTTTTTTCAAAGATTCGCATTTGATTATTTACCGTTCTGTGAATGCTAAACGTTGACTTTTTCCAAACCAAATATGTCCACCAATCCATAATTCGGATAGCCACCAGAGAACAAGACCACAGATAACTTGCCATCGAAATGATTCTTTAGCATAATCAGCATAGCAACTCCAAAAGAGAAAATTTTCAACAAAAACAGTTGATTTCGGTGCAACAGAACACATAACGAGTAATATTGTCAATGCCAATGGTGTCACTAATGCAAGTGGCAAAGCAAAACATACACGTTGCATACAAAGTTTACATGCTAAACGGCCCATATAGAAACATAATGCATCGGAAAGAATTTTTATTATCATTGGAGCCAAATAAAATATCCAACGATCTTTTGGGTTGATTTCTTCAGGATTACTTCCGGCGAGATTATTCCCCAAGAGCGACGCATGTAATGGATCATCATCAAATGGTAAACCAGCTGATAATTCATGATCCATTTGTCGTTTAATTCGGCTCAAAAGTATTGATATATTATCAGTCGAGCGACGTTCACGCGGCGGAAAAATTGGAAACATGCCTTCCGCTGGCTGTTGATCAAAATCTAATGCTGCCCATGAATTTTGTCCAGCTGATAATTTCGGTAGTGGATCTTCCATTTGTTCATTATTGCCATTTATTGGGAAAATAACAGACGTGTTAAATATACCTTGATGAAATATATAAGCAAATAGAATGGTTACAAAAATTTTCCAACACGTCATTATTATTGATGTTTTCGCTCGTGTAGCAAGAATATTTTCTTTCAATAGTTTCATATGAACGATTGTACGACCGCCAATTTTTATATCACGATCAACAAAATTTTCCCACCTAAAAGAAAGAAAAAAATTGAACGAACGCTATTAGATAGCTTAGGTTTTCATATTTCATCTCTGAGCAGGTAGTCACATAACAGAATTCCGTTGGTATCTCTATGTAAAACTATCAGAAATAGGGAAATACACAGTCAATATTTTGTTGTACTTGAAATTTTCTTTCGTCCTCTCCTTTTGTATTTTAAAAATTCTCTCAAAGTTAGACGTTCGTACACAAATGCAATTTCTACGTAGAAGAATTACTTCAATGGTATCAAACTGAGTATCTGCAGAATAATTGCTACTTTTTATTAGGGTGTGAAATTTCCAAAATATTCCTCGAAAGATCTTCACTCGGAATAAACTAATAGATTCGAATAGCATCTTACCAAGCTAATGAAACAAGAATAAGTGCCACCGGCAGTTCCCATTCAATATGAAAGCCAGCTAAAATTGTTTGTAAATTCTGATCGATTGAACTAATATTACCGAGCGGCGTTGACAATAGAATATTCTCATTATTTCCATGATTATCGATACTATATAAATCGAAACCAGCATTCGACGGATCGTCCTGCCGTTTATGCCGATTTAATAGTGGTATTGTCGTAGTACTTGCTAGATAAAATAATGGCGATACTGTCGTTTGAGCATGAATAGGTCCATCACTTTTTAAAAATTTCGATGCTAATGCAATACCAATACATGAACATTGCATAGCAAATGCAAAAAAATCCATCAGAAACAATAGACTTCGACGAATAATCGATGCATTTGATTTAGTCAAAAATAATTTTAAAAAAGCAGGTACAAGACAAACAGCATTCATTATTAATAAACTTCTGGCAGCATCTAATTTTGGTAATATATGAAAAACAAATATAGCTATGCCAAAACTATGTAGAGTTTCGATGAAAAAAACCTATTTAACAGTGCATCGCAACGAGAGAAATAATTCAAAGAAGAAAAAACAAACATATGATACATACGACCGTGAATATTTTTACAGTGGGCCATGGTTTATTACCAAATAGACATTTGCCAAGGCTCTCGAAAAATGTAAATATATGTGGAGCGCACACAGTTCCTAATAACATCCATACCCATCGTTCTCGATACGGTGCCTGAAGAAGAAGGAGAAAACGAATGGCTTTTCATATAAAATAATAATTGGACAAAAATGAATCAGACGAGAGCATTTTGAAAGACGATCCACATGCGTATGTAGACTAAATTCTAACAAATCCTTAGCGGAGCGATGATCGCCATCCTGTAATCAATATTTTACTTCTATTACCTCTTGTACTTTTGCCACCGAGTTTGTCATCAGTAATAGAGCTCCTTTACTAACAAGTGCAGTTAATAATACGCCAATAAAAAGTACGATATAAGTAGCAAGTTTGAGCATTCTCATGGATAATCGATAACAATGAACAGTGCTTTCGTAGGCTTCACGAACGTCAATTGCACGCGGTGCGTCCCAACAGTCTTTATTATCACTAAATAAACAATTGGAAAATACATTTTAGCGTATGTTTTTAGAGGAAATTTACTTATTCAATAAGGCTTGGTCATCTTCATTTGGTGATGAATGATTTCCATGAGTAAAACTGTATGTTGCATTTTCACAATTACTACTTTTACGTGCTACATTATCCTTAAATTTTTGTCTTTGTATCATCAGAATTTTTTTAACTAGATTACGCTTTTGGTCCGATAACATATATTGATCTTTCATATCAACGAGAAGATTTCGAGGCTCGGATTTTGAACGCAAGCTAGTCGGATGCTTTTTTCCATTTTGTCCAACTGCCCAATCTAAAACAAAAAGTCAATAAACCAATCCGTATCGTTTGACTGTAGCTCACCAGTCGTAAATAGATCCCCACTGGCTCCAGCAATTTTTGATTGTCTTAATAATTGTTCGGTAGTTGCTAAATTCATTGCTGATGCGATAGGAATTTTCCCAGCCATCTCAGAAATGTTACCATCATGACATTTTGAAGGATACTGTGATGTTGTTGCACTTGCTAATCCAGAGCCTAGTTCAATATTTGACTCCAATGGAAATTTTTTCTGCGGTACTCCTTTAAACGCTGCTATCGTGCCAGGTGTAAATTGATCTTGAACAAGAATGCGAACTTCACGTTCAGATAAACCTTTGACATCATGAGGAGTTTTCGAAATCGATTCCGACGTATTGCTTGATGCTACCTGGTGATCATTACCATCTAATTCATTGATTTCATCACTGTTTAGTAATTGTAATTTCTATAAAAATAAAAGGCAAGGTCATTTAACTTTTAAATAGGAAGTTTCTTGGTCAGAAGGTCATTATACTGCGGGATGAAGTCCGCTTGGAAATAACTGTAAAATTTACATTTTCAAAGAATTTCCATTCTAGCGAATCGATCATATTTTCGTTAATAATTTGTTGTACTCTCACTACGATATGGTTTTTATGTCTGCATGAAGTATTATGAAGGCATAGAATTTGCTTACATAGTGCCGTTGCAACCGAGTTTGTACGTTTTTCTTCCCTGATTTGCTAGTCAATTATATTTCTATATCTACTATAGTTAATCAAATACTTCAGATTGATGCCGACTTACTTTTGCTATTCGTAACATTTCAGTATGTTCGTGTTCATCCATTGGAATGGATTCATCAGCGGTTGACGTTGATTTTTTATTAGATTTTAATCGTTTTTTTGCGTAATGACCTGAACGTTTACTATCATCAGGATTTAATGGTATCTGTTGAATACTCTTAGCAGAGACCTTGAAATAGAATAATTTTTCTCGTTCAAATGAATAGAAGAAAAAGAAATACACACGTTCGGTAATGCTACTAGTTTATCCATTATTTTCTTGCCGCTATAGTTTACTTCGCTCATAAACGAATGACGTTCTGTCGCATTGTATTTTGCTTTACGTAAAATTTTTTGTCGTGTAAGAAAACCTTTAATGATTTTTTGACATATTATTATTTTTTTTATATACTGTTCGTAACGTTGATTTAGAACTTCGAAATGTTGCAATTTTAAAAAGATCTGAAATTGAATATTTTACAAAAGGAAATAAAATAATCCGCAAAATTAGCTTTACTTTAGATTTTCCAATAACGTAATCATTAAATTTAAGTTGTTTAAGAATTGTTTCGCATGTTACTTCATTGATTCTTACCGGACTACTTTGCGGATAGGATATAAATTTATATCTAATATGAAGAGAAAAGCAAAAATGAATGATTGAGAATAAAAATCGAACAAACCGTTTTAAAAACTCTTCAAATGTGAAACGAACAGGCCAGCCTTGATTACGAATATGAGATATTTCAAGTATACCGTTATAACGTAATTGTTCTTGGACTAATTCTTCGTCGAATTGATTAGCTACTTTACCGTGATTAGGTTTAATACATCTATGATATAAATAGTTTTAAGTTTCTTCTTTTTCCAAATTAATATCCGCAACGTCCGTCGCGCACTTAAATTAATCAATGAGAGGTGAGATTCGACCTACTGAAATGAGCAATCGTTTCCGTATGTTACTGTTGCGAAAATAATGTATCTGATTGATGGAGCAGTGTTTCAACGTTTCGATATCCGTAGTCACATTGTGATAAAAACAACTTAAAACTACTAAAAAGTTCATTTATCGCGAACAGCAAATGCAACTACGAGTTCTAGAAGTTTACGAACGAATTACTGATCTGTCGAAACCTTAACTTTTCTCTTATTACGTTCTAGGAATGCGCTTAAAATCAATACGAACTAGAATGAAAGAAATTTTCGAAAAAAATTACGCCCTGCGAATACATCATAGTACATAATCAATTGAGTCTACCTCGATTTTTTGTGCGAATCATCCGATGTTTTATGTTGAATTTGTGGCATTTTATTTTTCCATAGTGGTTTTCTTTGTCGATTTAAATTGTCATCATCAATGAGAAATTCATCTTCGGGTACATGAAAATCCATTGAAACAGTTAGACTTTCATATGAATCATGAAAATTTTGTTCAGGTTGTTGCAGTTGAGTAGAATCTCTTGGGAAACGTTTGTTATTAAAATAGGTAACAACTTTCTTTGCATCGGTATGAAGTAATGGCTGCATTGGAGACGGGGGTGGTGGCAAAAGTAGCCAATGTCCACGTCGATCAAGACGACAATAACTGGGCGGTTTCTTTGATGCTTTCTCATAATCGATATTATAGGATCGTGGTATTGTTGAATAGTCATCAAGAGTTTCCCATCCATAATCATTTCGATTGTCGGAGAATGTTGATGTTTGAATAGGTTGATTATGAATAAATGACGAGTGTACGGATGATAGCGCTGCACCGGGTAAATCCTGCCATGAATCCGTCGAACATTGTTCATCAAATTTAAATTTATCAGTTGTAAATAATAATTTTTTAATGTCAGTTTTAGATGAAAATAAGTTGAAATCTGACATTACGTACAATAAGAAACGACGAAAAACAAAACAATACAATAGTAATTATGAATAGAAAGAACGATCGTGGAACGGCAATAGACTCTGTTTAGTTAGTCAGCTATTCGACGATGGAGACTAATCGATAGATAAACAATACACAAAAAAAAGACGCTTGACCGTATTGTATATGCCTTTTTTTCTGTTTCTCGCTCTATTCCCCTCCTCTTTATCTCTATTGAAACAAATTCTTGTTTATTGAATATAAAACTAACCAACAGTCAAGCGCACAATACGAACACAACGATAGAGAATAGACCTAATTTTTCTAATCTGGACAGTCAACAATGATATACATTTTCCTAGTGCATAAAAATGAGAATTAATTAAAGACGCCAGACGATCATTTATGTGAATAGACAATCAGTCTTAAAATTGTTTACCTTGAATAATAATGATGTAAGATTACGAACAAAAAGAAAAAAACGAAGAGAGATTCAGATTCTATGTTGAATAACACACAATGACATAATGAAACATGAATAAGACATCTGTATAAAACAAATCATTTAGATATGTCATCCTAACTTCATGAAAATAATTATCCTGCGCGTAATACTTTACATATAGGTAACACCTAATGTTCCGCGATAAATATATATAAATAACGGTGAGATATTTTAAAATGTAACTTGTTAATTGAACTGAGATTTTCATCGATGAGTATAGAGACATAAAAATGTCAGTCTCAAGAAATGTGCTGTTCTTGAAATAAAGCATTTGAACATTCTTACCATTCTACATGACACATCTTACGATTTGGAATATTCAATATACCCACGCTCCGCATCTCATCTAGGCGAAAGTGTCCAATTTTATCGACTCATAAATTCTTCACTAGAATTTCAATAAAAGCGCGTGCAGTTGAACTTGCCATAGAAATCTACTGGCCTCAATGGGAATTCAATGGATGAGTTACACTTATATGTGCGCATTCATTCATAGTCGGGTAATCGGAAGCGTGACCAGGAATCTTCAGGAAGGGGTCGTCACCTGATGAAGTCTAAAAAGCGGAAAATAGCGGAAACAAAAACAGAAAAAGCGGACGCTTATATTTTTTAATGCTTCTATGAATATTAGGCATTTTTTCATATTTATTGGATTTCTTTTTATTTCATCAAAATTTCAAACATAAAAGAACGATGACTCACGGTATTTGTAAACAATAAGAATTGATTCAATAATATCAAATATTATTCTGTACGTATGTTTGATATGCAACACGTTTTATATAAAAAAGCGGACGAGGTGGCAACCCTGGTCGTCACAGAAAAAAAATGATCTGAAAACGAATAGGTCCGTACTCACTCCAGGTGTTTCAATATACGCCCCTGCTGATAATCTGAGCTAGAGGCGCATCTGGACGAATAATGATAACGTTTATTTGGGCTCAGGCATTTCCGAAAGTGTATAGGTTTCATTTAAAGGAAACATTAAAAGAAAACAAAAGAATAATATCGAATCTCGATACGTTTGCAAATCATCGATAGAGTCTAAACAGTTCTACTTCGTCTTCTATAATTTTCTAGAAGATTCCCTTTCGAGCAAAGAACATCTGAGTTAAAATCATCGAGTTTGACTTCCGCGAAATATTCAACACTCTTAGCAAAAACAACTATCAATCACACCTTAACACATAATAAATACAGTCTTCTGCCTACTGCTAAAAGCGATACGAAAAACAATGCTCTTCGATTGTGATATTATTAAATGTTATGATAGAAATAAAAACGAAGCAGAAACATCACGTATCGACAGTAAACAACAACCGAAAAAAAAATAGCGAAGAGAGACATGTACAGATCTTTAAAACAAAACGCGCAACTATCCTTTTCCTATAAATATTATTTAACGACTCGACATTTCTTTTTTTTTCATGATGTCCTAAGACATTTCATACATAAATGTTAATAACATTACAGAGCGAAGAAACAATAAAAAAAATCGAATTATTTTGATCTTACGTGCTTGAACAAAATATTTTTACGAGGACATTAAATGAATAGCAATAGTTGTGTACAGAAACAGCGATTCAAATAGAAAACTGTCCTTCATCATTCTTTCTTTTATTCAAAAAAATACAATCCTCCGACGATCGACAAAAGAATAAAGTATAAACTTCCTTCTTTTGTCGTTCATTTTATTTTATCTTGTCACCCTTCTACTTCTCGCACTCGTTTTTTGTTTGCTTTGTACTTCCCATTAGTCTTTCGTCTAGGTCTCTCTTTCTTTTCGTCATCAAATAGTGAGATAAATACACATACACATACATACAAATACAGAAAAAATCTTCTTCTTCTTCTTCTTCTTCTTCTTTTTTCTTCATTCTCATTTATATTTGTCTATGTCACGAACGAAGGTGACAACAGTACAAACACAACAAGTAGACTAAACGAGTTTGGAAGAATGTTGAGTAATCTAACCGACGGGACAATGGAGATCGACAGATAGAACAGAGAGGAAGAAGAAGAAAAATTCTGTATAAACAAATGAGGAGAAAAAAACCGAACCCTTTCAACACATTCGTCGACTGAATGTAAATGTGACATTTACATATTGACCCACGTACCTGACAAATGACGGTTCAGCATCTCTCATTTTGTCCAGCAATTCAGTGAGAGATACTTTAAAATGAAGAGTAACCGTGTTTTGACTAAAACGTTCCTTTGGAACGCTGCAACTTTTCGTAAATGGTCTTCTAAAAAAGAAAATTTATTGTGAGAAGAAAATGCAGCGTTCACATACGAATCTTGTCGAAATAATTTAGCAGTTTTTTGACTAAAACTTTCTTTTGTACATTCAGTTTCATATGATTTAGCATGACAAGTTGTTTGGAAACCGATAGATTGAGATTTATTTTCATTATCCGTTATTTTAAATTGCGAACTAAACATAAAAAGTTATGATCCAGTAAAGATCCTTGATTTATTCATTTTTGTGTATTAAAGCAAATATTATTTATATTTACTTCCGTAAAGAAAATAACATAATCAAGAATTTTCGTTCGTGGGATTTTAAAGGACGATCGTATGGGATTAAGAGAAATATTTTCTATTAAAAATCATTTCTCAAACAAATACAATTTAGGACATGAAAGAAAAAGAATGCCTATTGTAGATTCAATATTCATACGGTTGAAGCCGAACAAAAATCGTGCACCAAAAGCGTTCTTCAATGGTTGCCTATAATCTCATCGACATTCTACACTGGCGTATCATTGTGCATTGCTTGTCAATCCATTGATAGCAGTTTTAGAGTTGAATCAAACAAAATGTTGATCAGCCGTGATTTTTAGCTCATACGAAATTATATCAGGCAGCCGGAAACATAAATTCGATTTCTTGAAGTTCAAGTTCTTAAGGAAAATTGTTAGTTCTCAATGGCTACGGGCTTTGAAGTGTGAAATATAACGTAGCGATTGCTGTTAATCACAGGAAGATAGTTTTATTCTGTTTATTGTGCGACACATTTTGCTCACTATCCTTTTACCTAATCCTCTACAAATGTAATAAAGAAACAGTTCATATATATTTAACGAGACGCTATTGATTTATGCTCTTTGATCGTAGATCAACAACGTCTGTCACGGTCTGCGGTAAGTTGTTGCGAACGTGGCAGCCGTGGTTTCTTGCTGAATTGATGAAGGTGCAAATTTTCAGCCCCCACATGTTTCACAATACGAAAGGTGGGAGAAGGTTATTAACGATCTCTATCGAGGACAGAATACGGTAAGCTATTTGTCTATCTACCCTGTGCTTAATTAATTGCGTAAATGCATATTTAGAAATCTACGTTTCTTCTCCTTAAAATTTTACTTACGCCAACGATATTCCAGTATCCGACGAATGACTTATATCATCAGTCGTATGAAATAGATGACTAATTAATTCAATTCCACTTTTTTCCATACATTCAATTAAATTTGCACTGAGATTGTCTCGATTTTTTTCTAAAAATCCACGAGCATCATAAACAACCTGAACGATAAAAACGAAAATCACAAAAAGAGCTACGCTATCTTCGTAAACATTCTGTTCGTACTTTGCCGGCATAATGATGAATACCAAAAGCCGATTCATTGCCTCTCGGTTTAATATATCTTGGATGAGCTTTACAATGACTATGAAATTTTTGTACAAGTGATTCATCGTTTGCTTTTGGAAAACGTGATTCTTCATCAAGTAATGCCAATATGCCCAATGTCTATTTAATTTGAAAACATAATTCAGAGGAAATTCAGTTTCTTTTCAATCAAACTTACACCCATAAATAATTCAATTAAATCTTCATTATTTTGAAACTGAACTTTGTGACATGATACGCCTTCGGCTCGATAATCGTGTTCTTCTTGTAGAAAAATATGTTCATTAAAATAATACTGTAGATGTTCATTAGCAACGTTGATACATAGTTGTTCAAAGCTGTTCACCTGAAAGTTTTCAAAACCTGACATATCTAATATTGAACATGTACGCTCGATGTTATCATCGGTTTGATTGTATCTATTTAATGAACAAAAAAATGTTTATGTTTTAATATTTTAAATATTTACCGTCGATTTGGTTGCAATAGAATATTGATCTGTTTAACAATCCACGAAAATAAACGTTCATATAAAGCTTTCGCAAGCGCATCACGACAATCGTTAGCTTGATCGAAATTTTTTAAACTTATTACACGTTCATCTATCAGAATCATTTTTTATAACAATGTCGAAACGCTTGTAGGGAATAGTTTTCTGAAATACCTTTAGTCATACTGAACGTCGAAATGAGAGCCATAGTTAACATTTCTTGGTCAAGTACAAGTAGACTGCAGACTAGAATAGTAATAATAACAATGTTTTCTTATTCAAAACGGAACCGAAGGTCATTCATATATTTTTTATAGAAGCAGAAGAATAAAAAACAGAACGAGATTTAAACTAAATATTGTTTGTGATGACTATTCGATGATGAAGCTAAGTTCCAGGACTTAGATGATATAGATTTTCTTGATCAAAAATTCGAATTATATATGAGTTAGACTAGAAAGTAGTATTTCATGAAATTTCAGCTATCTGATCTTGACATGTACCAAGTGAGCGCGTACTGTACTCAAGAAAAAAATGATCGTATCGCTATCCTTCGCGGCAGCAAATGGTGAAGTAGAGTCAGTTGGAAACCTTCTACTCACTTGTGAATACTTTTATCTGACATAAAGAGATTATGAAAAGCTTCATAGAAAATTCTGCAATGACTGCTAATCTTTAGTTCCTGTTGAACTATGCTCAACTCGTTCGAAAAATAAAGTTACAGTCTGATTATTTTTCGAAGTAAATCTACAAAATAATACGATCATCATGCTAAAGACTTGATTAGAATTAAATAATTAAATATCATTCTCCCAAATCGATCATAGTTCGTAATCTGCAGCTTTCTAAATTTATGAAAAATTCAATAAAAACATCCGCGTGCAAAACTTTAACAGAATGAAGCTAAAAATGCACCAAATTTTTATCTAGTTGTCTAAGAATGTTTAGAATTTAACACATTCTGCAGTTTCGAAACTGAAATACCGTGCAACACTTAGACTACATACCAACTTCTAATGGATATTCGTCTTCAATGTAGACGCCATCTGTTTCCTCATCATGAGAAAAGCGAATATTAGTTAAATGAAGAATTGCCGAAAGAATCGTAAATACCATATTAATATCCTCGAAAAAACAAAATTTCAAAGAATGAGATTGATTATTTTTCTTCTTCAAATATAAAATCTAACTTCTCTAGTAAATCCTAATCGTTGCATAATTTCTTTTTGTGTATTAAACATTTGTCGACAATATGCAACATCGGATCGATCTGGAAATACTTTTCCTCCGCATGGATCTTTTAAAATTCTATAAAAGAAAAAAAGCGGTATCGCAATGCAAGCACAAAACAACAAATTCCTACCGATAAGTTTCCGGATCGTCCAAATAAAAATATTCTAATGTTTCTTTTTCCAAACCAGCAAATAAATAATAGAAAAAATGAAATGTTCGTTCACCTGGACCATGTTGAACCACGCGCGACTTTTCAAGTAAATACTCATAAACTTTCGCTTGAAAACAAAGAAAATTATTTCATTTCAATAGAAACAACAATACCATCATACCACCGATAATTCGACCCGTGTCAGTAAAATTTAGTTGAAGATATTTTCCGAAACGACTGGAGTTTTGATTCATACATGTTTGAGCATTTCCAAATGCTTCTAGCAGTGGTGACGTCTACAATTATTATCATGAGAGAGTGAGAGAGAGAGAGAAAATGCTAATTCAATTCATTTGAATACAAACTTCAATAATTCGATTTTGTAATTCTCGATCACCAGCGTCACCTGAACAATGTATGATATGTGAAACAATAAGTTTTGTTGATTCCGTTTTTCCTACAGACAAGAAAATAAGATCGAAATTCGATTTAACAATGAATTATACCAGCTCCACTTTCGCCTGAAACAGCAATACATTGCGACGTTTTCGATAAACAAAGCTTTCGATACGCTTGATCAGCAATCCAAAAAAGATGTGGGACTAATTGATTTCGATATTGAACATATTTATATAGATCATGTTGCTAGAATACTTCCGTAGAGAGTTCTTGTTTTTTTTAAACTTTTCAAGAAACAAACCTGCTTTTCATAGATATTCAATTGTTTAAATGGATTTATAGCAATAAGAACATCTCCGATATACGTCTATGAATTCAAATGAATTTTCAAAATAGCAAACAATAGAAGAATGAAACTTACATAGATTATTCCTTTTTTGTATCTAGCGCGTAATTCACGTAGTAAACTTTCTTTATCGAGAACGGTTAATGTTGATAGATCATCGATTTCTCCTGAACCTACTTTAATAACCATCGTTTTCCTTTATAATAAACTTGAGCATATAGCAAAACGATGGTCGCCTTCGATTAACTAGTTCAGTATATGAGCTATCGTTTGTGTACATAGAGAACAAACGTCAATGCAAGACTTCGAATGAGGACACATTCATTCATATGTTTAATCAAACGAATTTCGTTTCGATGTCATCAATCGGAAGGGAAGAAAGATATGTATACGGATAAAGAGAACAGAAGAATACGATAAAAATCACAGGATGTCATGTTGGGACGATCAGGAAGAGAGTGAAATAGGTGATGTATATATTTGCTCATCTTCGTGATGTTGGAAGTCAACAGTATATGTCAAATAGAGCGTATACGTGATTCACTTGTCCTTGATTATTTTTCAATTTTAATTGTTTTGTCCACGAAAAAATACAATTTCTGCTACTGAGGGCATTCGTCGTTTTCTTTTCTATGAGAATTTACTTTCTGCTGATTGTTTGGATAGAAGAAAGGTCAAACGACCACTTATTGAAATATTCAAGGTATTGCCAGAATAGAAAAAATCTAATAAATATATGTAATTACAAGTAACCTAAAATACAAAGAGAAAGAATTGTTTTATTTTTTGATGGATGTTGAAAATATCTCTGTCCCTCAACTTTCAGGAACGATGGAACAGCAATGCGACCTTCACCAAAGCGTTTCCATAATTTCTAAATACGTATGTTCATTACGTCGTCGCCCCCCCCCCTCCCCTTAATCAATGTTTTGCTAATTAGAAACTTTAACTAGGCTTTTCCCATCAAAATATACCTGATTCTTAGCGTTTTAACCTGGCAATATTCAAAGAATGTGTTCGCAATTAAAGTGACACTCATAAAACCCTGAAAATCGCCTTAGTTTTCTGGAAAACCTTTTAATTAAATATTAGGAAAAAATGTAGTCATAGAAGACCCTGGATCGTTTATTGTGGAGGTTAGTAACACTGGCAAAACTCGTTGCCGTTACATTACATTTTTCACGTACCCAATACTCGGAATCATTTTGGTTTTTGCTTTTCCGATAGTATCGATAATCGGAGAAAAAAATTATGCATTCATATACTTTTGTAGACATTTTATGCAAAGATTATCATGTTGACAACTATTTTAGTCCGCAAATTAATGAGCACTGCTGATTATTGATGAATTCTCCTTCCAATTGGAAAATTTATTGAAGTTTGTTCTGACAACACATTGGCTACTCATTTTTGCTCCAAACTAGGGGCGGAACCAGGGGAGGGGGCTGAGTCTGGCCCCGCCCCCCCCCCCCGCGGC